ACCAGTCCTGCTCCCGAAAGCTGGAGGGGTCCTAGGAGGGATTCCAGTGTAGCGCTTGGTGGATCCAAATCCTTCCATACTAACAGTCTCCATTCTTTCCGTTGAGCTTCCAACGCCTACACGTTCAGTGACTCTGCTCGTGACACCAGTCCAGCTCCCAAAAGTTGGTGGGGTCCTAGGAGGGATTTCAGTGTAGCGCTTGGTGGATCCAAATCCTTCCATACTAACAGTCTCCATTCCTTCCGTTGAGCTTCCAACGCCTACACGTTCAGTGACTCTGCTCGTGACACCAGTCCTGCTCCCGAAAGCTGGAGGGGTCCTCACGGGGATTCCAGTATAGCGCTTGGTAGATGCAACGTGTTCTGTAGTGACACTCTCCATGCCTTCAGTTGTGCTTCCAATTCCTGTATGCTCTGTGTGTGCACTGTGTGTGTAAGGCTCAGGGAATCCAGCTGTTTCTGTACTGGTATGCCTCACAGCTTCAGTTGATCCTCTCACTCTAGCACTTTCACTGGTACTTCCAGTGCTACTCTTATTCCACCCAGCCCTTGTAACTTGAGTGACACCTGGCAAACCAGTAGTGTCTTGTTGAAACTCTTTTCCTGTAGTTAGTACAATATTGGTGGAAACTGGCCCTTTGGTGGTGTTTGTCGTTTCTGTCTTTTTCAAAGTTGGTGTCACACTGAATTCTGGAACTGGGAAAGCTGGATAAAATGAGATAGCAGAATGTAAGATATACTGTAGGTAAGGAAGTATACAGATATATTACTAATATGAAAAGGGCATAAAAACAGAGTATGAAAAAGCACAGGAAGAAGTGAGTTTTGGTTAGGCAACAAAAATATGAAATAATCATATGACAGATCTGAAACACACACACTCCAGTATGAAATAAATGTCAAGGTAAGTATAATAATCGATATGATAAGAACATAACTAGATCTCTATTTAGATCTGACATTGCTGTTCTAAGAGATCCATTATTATGATAATCTATTCTATACTACTGCAAGTAATAGGTCTGTGACAGTGAAATGTGGACACATTTACCCAGAAATAAGTACCATTGAGTTCAACAGAGTTATTCCTAGGTAGGTGGTAATCTGATTGCAGACTGAAAGTATCATCAGATTCCTTAATAATTAGGTTTTAGTGTTGTTTGCTTTTGCTATGTAGGAAAGGAAGAAGCAGAACCAAAGAGAAGGAAGCAAAAATGAAGGAAAAGGAAAAGGCATGACCTCAAAACCAGAACCAAAATGTCCTTATAAAATAGTGAGATGCCCAACACATTTTATTAATAACCTTCCTTGGAAGCACAAGACTACAGTTCTGCAGTGTAACATCTCCTAAAGACAATGATAACAAAGTTCTACAAGATTAATAAAAAGTAACTGAACTTTAGACATGTCAGTTAAGGTACTCACGAGAGCAAACCAACTTTCCAGCTTTGCAAACACTAGATGTAAAATGAAACAAAATTAATGAAAATATTCACAGGTTAAAAACCTCAAAATACCACATTTACAAAATAAAGGGAATCTTGCCAATAAAGACATAATCACTGTCACTGAAGTCACAGGTTTCCAAGGACAAACATAGCTTCTACATATTATAGTAAGGATAAGTTATTTACATTGCGCTGGAAAATTCTGTTCCATCTTGTTGATCAATTTAAATTGTGCCAATACAAAGCACAGAAATCCAGAAAGAAAAAGACAACACCTGATATGAATCTGCCTCTAAGTAAATCCTGCTGAATTCAATGGGACTTAGAAAGTAGCATAGGACTGTGGTCAGTTAAACATCTACTTCCTCAGCAGGATGGGGGGAATAAAATCATACCACAAACTCTCATACTGAACCAAATAGCTGGAGCCAAATAAAAACATAATGAATTATTAAGAATCTGGTAAAAGAGCAGTCAGGCAATTTATATTGTAAACAAATATATATCTACTATGGAATTGTTTTAAACATATCCTTGCACACCTACTGCTACAGCCTTTTCCTGTTTCCCATGGGTAGGAGTACCCAAGCGAGTTCCAGAGGCATTATTGGCAATAAAGATGACACTGGAGGCCAGTGTTTTTGTTCAATTGTGTTTCAATTAGTCACATCTTTAAAGGAGATCAGGAAGATCTGGTAGGTGCTAAGGAAGTTATCCATAGTGCCCCTTTTGCAGCATATTGGAGATCCTGGCACTAGCAGGAAAAGCTTGTGCAAGGACAGTATTCAGTTTTTGCTAAGCCCTTCCTGCCTATCGCACCATTCTGCACCAAATCCTGTGTTTTTTCAGGAGTGGGAAGGCTGTCACGGGCAAGAAAAATGAGAGAAAATTGGGTGTTCTACCTTGTGCGAACAGAAATGCTGTCTATGGGTGCAAAGCTACCATCGGATACAACCCATAAGTCACCTATAGAAGAAACTCTACACAGCTTACTAGCCTAGTAAACTTGTTATTTGCTGCCTCCCAACATTTGTCTATATGAGACATTGATTGCATGTAAGAAGACAGCACCAGGTCTTGCATAGTAGATAAACTTCCCTGTCTGTCTGTCTGTCTGTCTGTCTGTCTGTCTGTCTATTTTTCGATTTATATCCTGCCTTTTTTTCCTACAAAGGGCTCAAGGCAGCTTATATCTCCTCCTCCATCTTATCCCCACAACAACAACCCATGAGGTAGGTTGGGCTGAGAGTCTGTGACTAGTCCAAAGTCACCCAGTTGGCTCCATGGCTGAGCGGGGACTAGAACCCAGATCCTCTGAGTCCCAGTCCCATGCTCTTAACCACTGCACCACACTGGCTCTCTCAATTAAACTGGGATAACACTTAAAACAGGGATGCAGAAATTCTTGCAACCCGAGATCCAAATTACATCTCAGAGAAATTCTGTGGGGGTGTCATATTCTAGAAGTAGGTGGAGCCAAGGACAAAGGGACAGCCCCAAAATAACAGCATGTTTTAGTTTACAGCTCTTACTGCCAGTAATGAAGCCTTAGGAAGAGTACAGAAAAGGGACAAGGCCTTCTGGAGCCCCTTAAGGCTGGATCTGGCATTCAGGACTGAGCTTCGGGAGCCCTGATGCAAGGAAAGCTGTATAGTTTGTGTAGTGGGACATTAAAATGAAAAAACAGACTTACCAGAGTCTTCCACAGTCATCATAAATGCTTTGTCCAGCAATGATTACATCATTGTAGTAGCAACTGCAGTCTTTCAAGCGGACACATTTCATGGTGTTTTCATCTAGATAGGGGGTTTTCTTGGGACACTTTGCATAGCAACCTAGGTGTCAAGAATATCAAAAGCTGGTTTCAGAAGCGCAGTCACAGCTCCTTCATAGAAAAAGTCACTGGTCACTGCTGTTTAATCTTCAATGTAGAGATGTACACAAGCCTTTTCCCTTGCTTTAAGCACTACTTCTGGTGATGGTGACATCAAAGGAACCATTGCAATTCTTAAATCAAAGTAAAATTGTTCAACTGAAAATACTCCAAAGAGCAGTAAAATGGCTCAGTCTAGTGCCAAACTAAACAATCCAAACATATAAGGTGGGTCTTACCCTCCAAAACAGATGGCAGAGTCCTGCCGATCACTTGATCCTTACACGTTTTGGCTGTCACAGTCCCACAAGGCTCATAATGCCAACTGCACTGCCCAGGTGCATTGTAGTAATCACAGTAGACAGCTAAAATGTGAATTTATGTCAGAAGTCAGTTCTGGAACTGCTGCAGTATTTACTATGTCTTTGATAAACACAGAATGTTCAACAAATGTTTACATTTTATATAGAGCTACACTTGTAGGTCATGTGAGAGCAACCACATTTATCAGTAGTCAAATTAATTACTGTTTTGGTATATAAATTTCCTTTGTATACCTAAATACTGATCCCCCCTTCACCCCTTCTCTTGGTATAGACACAGAGCTTGCCCACAGGTTGCAAAGAGACCTTTGCAGCTGAATGTCCTTGTTATTTTAATGCATCATATGTACACCTCAAATTAGGAGCGATCAGGTGTCCAACTTTACTGAGGAAGGTTTTCCATTCAAAGTGCTGCCCAGTCTAAGCCCAGGTTAAATAAATCAAAAGAAGGGAGAAAAAGGCATATTGACAGTTAGCATCAGGATAGCAGACTGAGAAAGGACACAGGTCACCTGGACATAGTGTTCTCCACAATAATGAGATGCATTTTATTTCTGTTTAAATTATAGCCATTATTTCTACATTTTCCTCTATACATATAAATCAGCACATGTACTTGTAGTACAAATTTGTGTTCTCTTTCCTGGAAATGTGAAATTGGCCACCACACCTCATATATTGTTGTCCACTGTCCTGAAAAGGATGTGGGTTGCTTTTGGGCTTCCAGCAGCAGCTTGAATTGCAGTAATTAGCAGGTAATTTTTTTCATAACACAGAAATAATCAGTGTTTCTTAACAAAATAGGCTCAGCTCACCATATTTGACTGCTGGCTCTCCTCATCAGGAAAATGTAGACACTGCAGGTTCAGGCTGAGAACTGTTCTTGACTTGTTCCCTGGTTATGACCTGACCTCCCAAATGAGCTCCGAGTGTACTGGCTAAGAGTGCGGGACTAGGAGATCCAGGTTCTAGTCCCCACTCAGCCATGGAACTAACTTTGGACAACTCACAGGCTCTCAGCCCAACCTACCTCACTGGGTTTGTTTGTTGTGAGGATGAGGCTGAGAGGAGGAAGATAATTATGTAAGCCACTTTGAGTTCCTTGAGGGGGAAAATGCAAGATAGAAATATAATAATTAATAAAACGGACTGTGACTCTTAGCTGGAGTACAGGCTTGACTCCAAAGTGACTAAAGTGTTGGATTAAGATTCAGGTGATGCGAGTTCTAGTCTCCACTCAGCTTTGAAGCTCACTAGGTAACTTTGGGGCAGTCACAGACTCTCAGCCTCACCTCACAGAGTTGTTGTCATGAGGATAAAATGGGGATGAGGATTAGGTAAGTTGCCTTGGGTTTTCTGCAGGGAAAGGGTGAGTCATAATATTTTTAAAAAATGACCTATCACAAGGTCCTTCTGATTATAAATATTTTAAGAAAACCAAACAGACACTTAAAAGTTTGAGGATGCAAGTTGCATACAAATATGACACAAGCAGAATCAATTTAGGTCTATTCTACCAAAAAAGACAAACATAAGCCATTAATTATATTGACTAATATAGCATCAAAGTTGTGATCTGGTCCAATCATTTTATTCCTACAGAATTCAGTCACAGAACCAAACTGATGCATGTTTACTCAAAAGTAAGCACTTTGTTCAGCTGAGCTTCCTCCCAGGTAAGTGTGCATAGGATTATGTTGCTAATGACATCAAATTATCAAAATAGTGCTTATGCTGTTACCTGCCAGTCACATATTTGCCATCTCTGATTGTATTTGATGTCTCACATTATAAGTCAGTTACTCAGAGAACAGCTTTTCTGATAACTTACTTGAAATCTGAGTGATACCTATAAATGCCTATACCTACTTTTACCCTGTAAAAATAAGAATTCTTGAATAGAGATGTTTCAAGGCTGAAGTCCAACAACACATCCTCTAAACTACGCTGGCATTACTGGTCTTATGAAAAACCACCACCAGCTTGTTTCAGCTTCTTTTGCCCCACCACCCCTCCCAGAAAAAAAATCAAATGTGAGAGAGGGAATAAAACCATAAAAGGAGAATTGTGCATGTACACAGCAAAATTCTCTGCAATGCTTCAGTCTTCAAGGAAATATCACATAGTACTGTGTTCTCCATTCTTGGAAAAAGTTCCAGGACTTGACCTGGGACTGAAATATGAATATGCTGTTGTTTTTATGCCTTTCTCCCATTCTCCTCCTAATAAATAATTTAGTGTTTATATAAGAATCTATATGACCAAAGTCTCCTAATTTTTAAGAACAATCGTATCAGCTTTTCCCTGCCAGGGACTTGGGGGAGAAGCTGCGAGACCTGATGGAGAACTCCCAGAGGCCATATCTGACCCACTGGCCAGAGGTTCCTTATGCCTAATAAAAGGTAAGCTATTGTTAATCATATCCAGAGTGCAGATGTAAGAGATGAGGATATAGCCAGGTTAGACTCAGTGCAGCGTAGGGCTACAACGATGGTGGCCAGATTGCAGGGAAAGCTGTATGAGGCGAGACTGAGGGAACTGGGTCTCTTCAGCCTGGAGAAGACTGAGAGGGGATCTGTTGGCGACATACAGGTATGTGAGGGGATGTCACATGGAGATGGGTAGAGACCTGTTCTCCCCTGCAGAGGAAGGCAGGACGCGCTCCAACGGAGCAAAGCTCAGGGGGCCAAGGTTCCATTTGGATGCCAGGAAGTACTTCCTGACAGTTAGGACCCCGAGGGTATGGAATGGGCTTCCGCAGGAGGTGGTTGAGGCCCCATTGGTGAGGGTGTTCAAGGATAGGCTAGACATGCATGTGGTATGCATGTCATGAGTGGAGCCAGCTAGAGCTCAGGGTCAGACTAGATGGCCCAGGAGGCCCCTTCTGACTCGCTCTGTTTCTATGTTTCTATGAGGCTGAGTGCCATGCCCAAGATTATGAAATGGCTCCTAATCCATGCTCTTATCTTCAGCCTGCAGTAATTCATATGAATTAACGTTCCACGATTAGTTTCACTTACGGCAAAGGTCTGGAGTGCGCCAGGATACACAGACCCCAACTGCTGAGCATGCTTCTGCATACATTGCTACAGCGGTACAGAATCCAAGATATTTCCCTTCCATGGTGCATGCACAAGCTTCCTCAATGCAAGCCTTGTGATACGGAGTGGGGTCCACCTAAGGAGAACAAACCGAAGTACTATTATTTTTGGGAAGCTTGTTGTCCCAGCTTTTGTGACTGTGAGTACCTCTTCTCATACCATAGCATGCATATGTGAGCCCGCCATTCATATATGCAACCATACCATCCATTTGTCTCATATGCAGGCTCCTTTGTCTGTCTAAGAAATGCTGAAGAATCACATAGTGTGGGATATAGTGTGGGTTGCATTCAGGATCTGACTACTATGAGAGCAAGGGGTTCCACTTGCAGACAGTCCCTCTGCACAATTTTTGGGGACTTTTTGGATACAGTAAACCCCATGATTTTACTGGGGATACAGTAAAACCCACAGCAGAGTTGCATGATTCTCCGTGTAGCCACTTCCAGGAGAATGGAGGGACCATTGTGACAAGGATGTGGCAGAAAAGCACACTTTCATTTGCACAGGTAAATCCTGATCCACCTGGTCCCCCAGGCTACAAGACCTGCATGGAGGGCCCAATTACCACCATACAAAAGGCATTCTTGGGCCACCATCTGCACCCCAACCAGGAAACCTTTGGTAAAGAGCAAGACTTACCCGGTTGTGGCAGGCCCTGAATCGATAGTCTCTAATTATTTCACATTTTCTCACAGCCCAGTCTCTGCAGTATGCATTTGCATCACATGGAAAAGACTCTACTACTGTATCTGAACATTCAGGGCCAGTCTTCCAGCTGTTGCCAAATTCCAATGGCCCGGCTGCCAGAGAACCTTGCCTGGTAGTAAATTCATCCTGAAGATTTCCATTATGATTTCCACAAAGGCCACATACATTACTCTGTATTGCAAACAGAAGGATGTTGTGAGGCATCACCTAGACCACCTCTGGTCCCCTCCTACCAGGTAGCAAAAATGTCTAACAAGGTGTCTGTATGGTATGGTAGTCCAGTCTGGCTTACTCTCTGGCTGAACTGCAGCATGGTCCTACCTTTGGCCCAACAGCCGTGCTAGTTGGCTTGATGGAGATGACATCTCCCTCTGAACCATTCTCCATTCTGGCCCACTTATGGGGTACAAATAGGCATTCAGTCCATTTGTTTATGAACATATAATTGATAAGGATGATTTATCATCATCATCATCATCATCATCATCATCATCATCATCATCGCTGCTACTATTACTACAGTAAAGAAGTAAAGATGTCATAAATCTTTACCTTGTGAAATCACTGCCAGAGAGATGAGCAAACACCTACTATTTTAAGAACAAATTTTGCACCCCTCTCTTTTACACAGATTTTTTAAAAAGTCATGCCTAAAGTATCAACTTGATATTCAAGCACTCTTTTATCTATCCATCTATTTATTACATTTATGAACCACTCCCTTAGCCCGTCAAGGCTCTCTGGGCAGTGTACAATCCCAAACAAATGTGTAACAATAAAATTCCTATAACAACAATTCATACAATAAAAATTCATAAAGTAAAATACAATAAAATACAACATATTCTGACAGATAACTACAACAGTGGATAAAATTACGTCAGGCACAGTGGTGATAAAATCATTAAAATTTCTTAAAATATAAAATATTAATTCAGTGATTCTTAAAATTACTGGTGAATATAAATGTCTTTGCCTGGTGCCATATAAATAGCAATGAAGGCTCCAGGTATATTTTTCTAGGGAACATATTCCATAGATCAGGTGCAACTACCAAAAAGGCCCTTCTCCTTTGCCTTTGCTATCCCTTCACCTCTTTAGGGGTGATTCCCTAAGAAGGATCTCCACAGTCAATCTGAAGTGGTTGGGTAAGAACATGTGAGAATTACTATTCCTTCAGGTATCTTGGCCTCAAGTTGTTTAGGGCTTTATATGTCAAAACCCTACATACATGAGCAGCTGCTGCAGCCACCGTTATCTTGAAGATGCCTTGTTTGCAGAACTGGAGATTCTGGGAGGGAGTTATTGAAGACAGGGAGTACTGTGCAGAAGAAACTCAGTAGCGCCCTCCAGACAATTGCATCCACATGGTGATTCCATGTTAAAGGTGAATCCTGAATCATGTAGTCCTAAAACAACCCTGGTGTGAGTGAAAGGAGAGGACTGTGCACGGGTTACACAAGCCAGGTCTGATTATGGTGTGGTGGCTCAACTGAAGCTGGACCAATGTGATTCCTCTTTCTGTTAATATGAGGCTGTTGTATCATTACTCACACAACAGCTGTATTCCCCATACCACGGTGTTCATAGATTTTCCTGCCATACCTTCTAAAAAATTGATTAAGGAATTAGTTTTGAATAATGTCATTTGGAATATACAAACCTAGCCAGTGCTTTTTTTTGTAAAAAAAAAAAAAAAAGGTGCCGGAACTCACATCTTGTTAATTTTTTATTTAGGGTTTTTTTAGGGTAATCTTTTATTAGCAGGACCAGTGGTTGAGAAGTAATTAGTTTTTTTTTCATTTTTAAATGAAAAAAAAAACTTTTACACTAAAAATTAAAAAAAGATTTTTAATTCACCAACTTCCTTTAAAATAAAGAAATTATTTACCTTTTGCATGTAGCCAATCACTCTACACACACCAACACTGTGTGATGAAACATAATGGTCACCGCCCACAGTAAGCACTCAGCGCGCAACCACATGACCAATCACAAATCAAGCAGCGTCAAAAGCCGAGCATCACAACGGGCGCGGACACACAAGCAGCCCGCATGCACTATTTTAATGATTTTGCTGCCAACCTGCTACACCCGACAGGGCGATTCAAAAGCATGTGGAAAAATCCATCGAAAAAAGGTGCCGGAACGCTGCTCCAGTGCATTCTATGACAAAAAAAGCCCTGAACCTAGCATAACCAGAAAAACTGCTTACTGGGTGAAAATGCAGCATTCCTAGTCATAAAATACAGAATAAATTGTAAACAGTAATTTTTTTTAAAGTTTATATATATTATGCTTACACTCCAGTTTGGCTCTTTTATAAGAGTTATTCTTGTATTTTTGTCCCAAATCAAAATTAATCCATGCAAAAATTTGATAATCAAATACAGTCCAACAGTGTGTACAGTGTAGGGTTGTTCATCTCTTTCACATTGTGTACTTCCAGCATCTTTAATAAACATGACTTTTCCATCTTCTAGGACAAGGCTGGCATTCTGAAATTATATTTTAAAAGAAAAAAAGCAACCTTTATGATTAGGACATTGATAATCTTCCAGGAAATTATTGATAGAAAGAACAGGTGACACCTGCTGCAACAGATGCCGGTCTACATACTCTCCTAGGAGATGCTGGTCTACGTACTCTCCATTCCACACAATGTTCTATTCTCTGCCCTCCACCTGCAACGATCAATTACCATGCTGGAGCTCCTGGGACTGTTTCTGATTGCCTCCCCACCTAGCTATTTTTGCTAGGTTTTCTTTGCACCTCTCTGAACTTCAAGGGTTTGGACAAACCTGCTTGATAATTCTGTCTTGTGCACGGATGGCATCACTTTGTTGCTGCCATTGTTAAGCGCCATCAACTTGTCTCCAATTTATGGTGAACTTATGGAAGAGAGCCTTCTAAAATGTCCTATCCATGACATCCCCTTTTAGCTGCACTGAATTCAAGGCTGTGGCTTCCTTTATGGAGGGAATCCATTTCTCACTGGTCTTCCTTTTCTTCTTTCTTAGACTGTCCCCAGCATGAATGTCTTTCCCAGTGAGTCTTGCCTTCTCACAATGTATCCAAAGTACCACAGCCTCAGTTGCATTATTTTTGCTGCTAGGAAAAACTTTTTCTTGATTTGATCTAGTATCCACTGGGTATAACTCTATGTACATCAGAAACAGAGGAAATGAAAGAGCAGTCCTACCTGTAGAATCACTGTGATTTTCCTTGAACATGTAACTCCATCATCACAACATGGGACACTTTCTGTAAGGATTTGGAATGACCCATCTTCTTTACCACAATAATCCTGTAAGTTATGCATATGCATACATTTATGTATTGAATGAACTGCTCTAGACCAAACAGACTTCACTGCCACAATGTTTAGTGATAGTGACAAAGGACTAGGATGGACAAAGCTACGTTAGGTGTGTCCAAGGTGTCCTTCGAGCAGCTGACCCTCCTGCTGCCGATCACAAACTGCTTTACAAAGTTCCTTAGTTTCAGATGATCGGTTCAAACAATTCCATAGTTCAAGATTTTGGTTGGTTGGTTGGGTGGGTGGATAAGAACAGTTTTGAATAGCTTGAGTTGGGTTTTGCCCATAGAAGCATGATAGAAATGCTTGTTAGAATTCATGCTAGCATAAGTGTCTGTTTTGAGAGTGCAGCCTGCGGGTTATTCTCTCATTTTGTGCATTTTCAGTAAATGGATTCAACAATACCTTTTTTGCGTAACTGAGCCTGAAGAAAGTACCACAAATGACTTACTCGAAGGGTGCAAAGCAATACCAAAGCTCTTTTTCCTGGAATCAGGCATCTGTCCATTCTTATAATAGTCACTGCACTTTTTTCCAAGTTATAGTACAACTCTATATAGAGAAAGCAGCATCTTATGAATACTCAACATGGAAGAAAACCCAAAAATATGCTTACTTCAGCAAGTACATACTGACAAAGTCCATCATAGCTGTACCACTTCCCATCAAATGTTTGGATTTGACCATCTCCATAGATGTGGCAAGTACTCTGGCATTTATTTTCTGTACACTTCCATGATCCTTGTACACACTTGCTGAGATAAATAAGAACAGTTTGTTAACAATAACATTAAAATCATGTGTATCTTCTAAGGTGAGATTGAATACTTTAGTTACATATTTATCACTATACTGATTATAAGCACAGAGAAACTCTAGGCTTAAATCAACAAGGTATTTATTGGCTTTAAAGATCAGTGCAATAAGGACTGGCATAGTTACTCTCTGTTTTACGTATTGTATTCCCACTACACAATTATAATATTAAATATTTTTGCACAGATAAAGACCAAAGTGCCTGCTGGGTAGCAGGCTAGCTACATGGATATCCTGCAGCACAAGGTGGCAGGAACTGATGACATAAATGGACAGCAGCAGGAAGACCTATTGGTCTACCTTATGCATAGAATATCCACACAATCCCATCCCCTCCACCCCCAGAAATGTGCTGTTGATTGCTCCCAAGCTCTTGGGCTCAAGGCAAGCCTATGCTAAAGGCCAAAGGTGATGAGGCCAAAAAGGATTGGCGGTAAAATTCCCTAAATGCCAGTATATTTTAGCTTAAACCTCTTACTAAGCCTTGGGAGGGGCATTTCAAACTTCCAGAAAGAGGAAGAAAATATTCAAAAGCCAGGAAACCACTAAATGATAGGCAGTGGGAAGTGAGAGACACCTGATAAAGTGAGGAAAGCATGATGACCAATGGCAAAACCCCAGGCTTTGGTCCCTGGACAGATTTGGTCCTAGGTTTGAAAGTGGGCTCTCATAGTGTGGGCTTCTGACAGTCTTGCTAAAATGGGTGCGCAACTGCTTTATTTGCAGCTGACTTTCTGCATTGCACCCATGTTTTCTACATGGAAAGTACGTCTTGGTTTGCACAGCCCACATCTGCTTAACCTGTGGCTGACCAAGGGCTTGACAAACCTCCTAGCTTTGTAGCTTGTTTAAGGCTGCAGAAAACAGGACCATTTTCAAGCATTTGCCAGGCCAGAAAACACATTTGGTAGACTGCATCTGCCTTGGAGAATGCCACAAATTCTACAGACCTGACATAGGATGGGTGGATTGATGGGTGGGTAACCTTCAATCTGGTGAAATATTTGGACTATGTGAACTTTGGTCCCATCCAGCCCTATCCTTGCTTGTTACTGTATGCATTCAGAGTGTATCCTTTTGTTCCTTTTTTGTTTATGAAAAAGTGCTATCTCTTCAACCATCAAATGGGATAAATCAAAAGTTAATATTTGTAGAAATGAACTGAACTGCAGGTTTTATAAAAGAAAAAGTCAACAAAATACAAATAACAAAGAAACCATCAAATATGTAACATTGTCTTAGACTCACAAAGATCAATTATGGCATAGTAAATTCAGGTATACAAGAAAAGGGGATAAAGACAATGCAGATTGCAACTGATCAATTGAGAGAGAAAGAGCAAGAGAGAGAGAGGGAGAGGGAGAGGGAGAGAAGAGCAGGGAAAGGTGATATATTTGAACTCAAATAAAATAGTTACAAAAGGAAAGAGAACCTGGCTGACAATGGCATGCAAATATACATACAACATTGTAAACCTGTACAAAGTGTCTTCTCAACTCATTCAGAATACATATAAATACAGTCCCCCAATTAAAAAAGTATCCAAAAGTCAACATTACCAAGTGTTACATTCCACTTTTATTGAGCTCCCTTGTTTATATGTCCGACCGCTGTAGGAACATGGGCAATGTACTGCCGGAATGCACACCCCATTGGAGTTTCGAACCTTGCCTAATGGGCAAAAACATCCACGCTTGCAGGGCAAGTCCATCTGTATACAAAGTGTACAAATTCAGAGAAGCATTTCTTCTACTGTACTATTTCTATGAAAACTTGTATAGCTTTTGAAACTAGAAGTTCTGAATGTCATACATGACTGTATGGTTGGCATTGCTAAGGTTGTATATTACATTTACTGTGCAATGTGTGAAGCATGGACTTGTTAATTACTTCTACGATGAAGTATAAATTCAATGTCAATTCAGATTCCTTTGTTGGTACATGTGTACAACAAAGTACACCTGAATATTATTATTACCAACAAAATACCCACTATGATGCAGTGGGTAATGTTGGTCTTGAACTCAGGAAAGGTTATGTAACTCCTTACTCTAGCATAAAACAGCCTAGATGGATTTAAAAAAACCACTATCACTTGGAATTGCAACATCACTGGTTGTGAAATTGACTAAAAGGTTTTTAACCATCATAAGGTCAAACACATTGACACAAAATCTACACTTAAAATTGCACGATACATTATTGGAATGGCATTGGAAGGATCACATCATGCTATTGAATTGCTATCATGGGATCCGCAGCATACAAAATTCTCTGACTTATCTGCACGCAAATTTAGGATTGCTATGCCAAAACACAAAACCCATTGAAAACCCATTGTCACATTGTTAGCCTTTCCCAGGCAACTGAGTTTATAAAATGGCAAAATTCAAGCAACAAATTATAAAACCACATTAAATATATACACTTTTAAAATAATCCAGATAAAATAAAGTTCCAAAATGTAGCAGCAGAAGATACAATAAAACTTCTTCTCAAAGCTTTTAAAAAGATGCCACAGAAGGAGTCAGACGTATCTCTCTTGGGACTGAATTGTATAAGGTGGGGCCACCACCGAAAAGGCCACTCTCTCTAGCGCCTATGAACGCTTGTGATCTTAGCAGCACACCAGTGAAGATAAACCCTTGGCAGGTTCGTATGAAAGTTGCTTGTTTCTTGCTTTTATTTTGGAATTTTCAGAGAGGTACAATCTGGATCAGCTTGAAGAAAATAATAACATTTTAAGCTCTCAAGAGTTCTCCCTTAAAGAGAGGACTAAGATATTTTCAGAGCCCTGCATGTTTTATCAATTCTTAGAGAGAACTGTGAACTCCAGAGAAATCAGCTTACAGAGATCTGAGGCATCTTCAGAGCACTGCATGTTCTGTCAATTCTTTTCTTTGCGTTTGGGTCAGAACAACTGACAAATTCGGCTCCACCTGTACAGGTGACTGAAGAAGAAAGGTTGGATTATATGATTTGAATGTGAATATTTCATTTTTGAAAAGTTGTTCCTTTAATAAAGTGTCCCAGTTTGAATGGCCCTTTGCCCCATCCCTTTGCAGGAAGCCTCTAAATAACTAGACTTTCCCATTTTGTCCAACCTGGAATCTAGGCGTGGCAGTGTTAGAACAAGCTAAGATATGAAACTATAGTTTGAAATTGGTCAAAGCTAGCTTATTCCAATCCTGGTAACTATAGTTAACTCTAGGGGTCATTTAATCTTCCCAGGTCTTGGCTGGAATGGGGAGGGAGCCGCTATCTGTCTTAAGGTTTTTTCTTCCCTGGAATACAGTGTGATATGATTTAGCATATTCATTCTTTGGTAATTTAATTCTCTGGTAAATAATCACTTACCAGGGCTGAGGTCAAAAGGATCATGGCAAAGAATTTGCCCTCTTCTACAAACACTGTGAAATGTAAACAAACAAACAGAAATGCATTTAGGCTACTTGCCTTGAGACCATCCTCATGAAGGCAAGAAAACACTGTCTTCCATAAGAACCTGGAAACCTGGATTCCCATAATATGAACAAAGGGATTTTATAAATGAACAGAGGGGTGGCTCCAGTCAAGGCTTTTATGGCCTCAGACATGGAATTTCTTTTGTGTTCCAGACACTGTTGTCTGCCATTTGTAAGATTTCCATATTTTCTATCTTTTCCATCCTTTTTCTTACCACAAAGTTAAGGAAGACTGATCAGCTGCACATTACCATTTAATTGGCAATACTAGGAGTCTGATGGGTTGTCACCCGGACAGCTAAGGAGGACTTTCCAAAAAATTAGGCAAATCAGTCAGAGATGTTTTCAGCTCCACTTGCATTTTTCATAAACACCTCCCTCCATTTCACACTCCTATAGCACAACCAACACCATTCAGGAACACTGGAGGTGGGGCTCTAGGAGTTGAGGGGACCGAACGGGACAGGAAAGTTTCTCCCTGCTGTTGGCCATGGACAAAATCTCTGGATCCAACCTGTTATGAGTAACTTGTGACCAGACTGCAGAAAGGCAGCCCCTGTGCTGCTCAGCAAATACATATGTTCATAGTTTTATTGTTTACATGCTCTCATACATTTACATATATATTATTTCATTACATTTATTGTTACATTTCTATATTTGCTCAATAGCCAAAGCTCTCTGAGCAGTAGAAAAAGATTTAAACATTCAAAATACAATCAAAAACATAATGAGAACTTAGAGATATTACAACAGTATGTATATTATATAGGTAAATAATAAACTAACTTGTGTACATCAAACAGCAACTATTTTGCACCCAAAATTATTAAAGTGCAAGACTATATACTTACCACATGTAATTACCCAACTGAATACTTTGACCTGATGTCAGCACCTGATTATCCATGTAACAATCACATACATCCTGCTCAACACATTCCCCTTTGCTATTTAAATATCGGTCCTTAGGGCAAATACATCCATCTACAGGGATATTTTCTACATCACAGCTCAAATCCCTCTCTGAAAGGGAACGGCAAGAGGTGTTGCAGGCTTTTGCATTATACTGGAAGACCATTCCTTCTTTACATACTTCCTCTATATGAGAGAGAGAGAGAGAGAGAGAGAGAGAGAGAGAGAGAGAGAGAGAGAGAGAGAGAGAGCATCTTATGTAATACTTCTAAAATATTGGTAACTAAGTTTGAACTGGGTTCCATAAGTGATCAGTTTGAATGTCTCTTCAGAAGTAGGCCCCATTGAGTTCAATGGGATTTTCTTTCAGGTTAGCATGTGACTGCACAGTGTTTAATCTGTATTTCCCCAGCAGCACCAGCAAATCTATCTCATGCATTCTCCTGAGTTGAATCAGTTAACATACAAGAAGTGGAAAGAACTGCTTTGGGCTCTACAGTTGTAACTACAATTGGATTGAGTGTCAGAAGCTAATTTATGTTGAGTTCGCTTGACCTGTGGCAACACTTCTAAATGCCAGTACAGGGTGAAAGAGTCATGTGGAATGGACTGCCTTATACAAGATTTAGCAGGTGGCCCATTTAGGCTATTATTCAGTCAGGGATAGCCTAGCTACAGTAGCTTATGCTTCTTACTGCATATCTGTGGAATGTTTGTAATATGGAACTGCCCTTGAAGACAGGCTGCTAGCTAAAGTTTGCACAAATGTGGAAGCCAGACTGATAGTGAGGACCAGAAGTTCTTAGCATATAACACAGGTTCTAGCCAACTTGCACTGGTTTCTCAGCCTTTCAAGAGGCTAGTTTTTACTTATAAAGCCTTACATAGCCTGGAAATGCAATGAGTATAAGGCTACCCAGTTGCCACAATCAACACCTGAAAGCCTCTTCTGAGTAACTCCTCCTAGGAATACCTGGAGAATGGCAGTAAGGAGGAGGGCCTTATTTGTGGCAGTTTCTGATTGTGGGATGCTCTCCCTGCTGAGGCCTGACTGGCACCAACATTGTTATTTTTTAGGCACTAGATTAAGACTTCACTGTGTTTCCAAGGATCTGATGGAATATAATAGGCATATAAGGTCAGATGCTTTACTAGGTCCTACTATTGGAAAGCCACTTGCTTTTGGCTGTTTTAATATTTTGTAATTGTTAAAGACATCGACTGGGTTCAGACAACAAAATAGGGGTTGAGTGTGGGATGTCGCTAAATCACGAGTTGTTGAACTGTGGGCTATCATGTTGTCTCAATCCAGCAGAGCTAACAAACACGGTGAACAACCCAAAGTTCACAACTAAACAACAAATCATGGGTTCTCCTTATGGATTGCTCATGGTTACAAAGCAGTGAGTGTGAGCTTAGGTGGACTCCAGGGGATGGTGGAGGCTAGGAGAGCCTGGAGAAATGTTGTCTATGGGGTCGCAATGGATTAGATGCAACTTCGCTATGGACTAGTATAGCATAGCATGGTTACCAAGCCATAGCTTGTGAGCACTGTTGGGTTAATAATCCACATTTCAACAATAGCCCCAGATTCAACAATAATGCTCACTCCACAGTCAAAAGTTGAGTGTCATTTATTGTCTTATCAAAGTCTAGTCATTACGTTTTAATTATGCTACATTTTGGGTCTTGATTTTTGCAAACTGCCCAGAGAGCTCTGGCCAATGCGCAGAATAGAAACGAAATGTATGGAATAGAATCTGGCCCTAGATCCTATAACTTTTTCAATCTGAATAAAACTCACTGGTTCAGTTACAAGAGTCCAAGCTTACACTGCTATTGCAGAAAGAAGCAATTTGCATGTTTCTATTGTGCCTTACACTTGATTACTTCCAAGCCCTCAGAACTAATTGAGCCTAGCTGAACTTGTTTGAACAGGTAGAAGCTGTTATTCATATGGCCTAGAATAAGGGGGTCGGCAACCTTTAATAGTCAAAGAGCCATTTGGACCCATTTCCCACACAAAAGAAAACACCAGGAGCTGCAAAACCCTTCTGACATCTAAAATGAAGATAACACTGCATATATCGTTTTTTACCTTAATGCTATATATATCTTCATTATGATTTAGCTGCAGCTCTTGTTCAGTCACTAAAAACTGTTATTTTTAATCTTACATTATAAACTAGTAGGACTCCTTTCATATATTTTGCATAGGAGAACAGCTTCCTGAAGAGTCAAAGTCAGTGCTAAAGGGCTGTATGCATTAAACAGCAAACCCCATAAGTTTGTCAGAAGTAAAAGCAAATGAATCTACCCAGTATCATTAATCATTTGGTTTTCTTCAGAAACTTTTCTTTTCTTCAATTCATCCATGGTTGGCCTAGGGGTGGGGGGGTCAGTAAATCGGTGCAGGTCCGCAGAACAGCGGCTGTGCTGGAGATATAGGTGTGTTTAGTGACTGATTAGCAGATAAACAGTCAAGTGATGTGAATTGTGACAGGTCCCAAGGGCAGCTTTTAACATTCAGATGAAGGAGATGACATTGGGACAAAGAGAATCTTTTCAGCAGTGTTTTGTGTAACATGAGAGCCTGCAGGAAGCTTGTTTAGCAGAGAAATGTAGCGATTTACTTAACTAGCTGATTTACTTAACTAGCTAGCACTGGGAGCTTCAAGCAGATCAGTGGCTGTGCCGGTGCGCGTTTTGAGTGGCGGAGCCACAGCAGAGTGGTTCAAGAACCACATGCGGCTCTGGAGCCACGGGTTGCCGACCGCTGGCCTAGTAGCTGGCAGTCACTTATATTGAATGGCCATGGTCCTTTCTCTCTAATAGGGCCAGAAAGTATGAGGTGGAATCATATCCAAGAAGTTGTACAGCCAGTGTCTTCAAGCCACCATTCCAAAGGTTCAAGTGATTTCCGTGAGACCTCTCTCATCTTACCACAAATTCCCTTTCTCCAGTCAGTTATGTATATTCCATGTTTAGCACATGCCTTGACATAGTTTCCCAGTGCAGTGCACAAGCAATCCTCGACGTTTTCACATACACAGGTTGATATCAGACATCTCTGCAAGATAGATAAAGCACAGTCCATTTCCTTTCTTGAAAGCTTTGTTTATTACTATTTTGTAACTTCAATTAGTATAGACTGAGCTAGTGCGGCTCACAAAATGCCTTGAAAAATAAGAGGCTATTCAGTAGACTAGAAAAGAAGTGAGCAGATCCTCTAGCAAAAAATTATAACACTTGATCTACATTTGGTGGTCACAAAGCCTATCTTGCACATGTCAGAGTGTAAATGTATTTATTTACTAAATTTATATACTGCCCAACTGACGGATGCTCTCAGGCTATTTTACCATAAATAATTTAACCCAGAAAACAGTAATAGTCAAGGCAACACATGCAACCATGAGCATAGGATAATATTAAAAATGAAAATTAAAGAGCCAGCAGTAAAAATAATAATAGGATCAACTGATTAGAAAGTAAATATCTACCAGAAGAGGTAATTTCTAAATGTATATAGTGATGATGACAGGTGTATCTCCCTGCAAAGGGCATTGTTCAGAAAGGGTAAGAGCACCCCCACTTTTAAATTGATGGGGCAATAATATCATGTCCAGTGAGTTTCACTCCACATGTTAAGCACCGCACTGGAGATTGGACTTAACTAACAAGGGAAAAGCACTCAATCTACTCTGCATCAACTAATCTGCAGGAATGCATAAATAGATTTTCTATTTTCATACCTCATAGTAAGACCTGTGGTCTACTGTGAAATGGCCAGAAGCAAACACTCCATTGGGATCAATGAGCAATCCACAGTTTTCTTTTGCAAATCTTTCTGTAATCAGTAATAAAATCACACCATAAATTAGTTTCTGAAGGAAACATGTGAATTATTAAATTTTTTAGAAACAGCAGGTATGGAACCATGTTGATGAGAACAGACAAATCAGATAAATTTTATTTCTCTCAAATTCCTAATTGTAAAATTTAAAATTTAGCTTCTTCCTGAGTTTGTGAAGTGTTTTAAAATGTTTATATATATATATATATATATATGCGCATGCATGCATGCATGCATGCATTGCTCCTAATATATGCATTGTGGGTCCATTTGCCTAATATACACATTTTAGCAAGTACTTGTAAGTATATAGTGAGTTCTGAAATGTTTTTCATTAATTTGCAGGTTCTTATGTGCATTTTCCTGTTACTATAAGCATTGCAAAATTGGGAAAAGTGCAGTTTGAAAGTACAGAATTAAGTAAGCAAACTGAATACATTTCTCCCCTTTAATTCCCCCTGAAGATGTCAGATTTATCGATTGCTAGCAAAACTTTGGATGATTAACTTGGCAAGGATGCCAGATTTGCTGTGTTTTAATATTAGCAACAATGAAATTATTATCCCAATCCCTGCTGGCCATACATTATATTGCTGCAATTTGGAATAACTAGGCATTGATTTTTCAGTAAAAGTTCTGTGAGTTCTGTTCACTTCTGACATGCAAAACAGATTCTTAAAATTCCTTAATTCTAAGTATAAGCCTTTTAAGCCCCATTCTGTTCGGTAAATCTTGAAATTCTGGTAAAAATGTAGACGTTTTCAACCTGAAGTCTGTCCATCCATGATTTATGTTGCTTGGACCAAAGTTGCTCATTTTGTGAATAAGTCAAAAACTTTATCACAAGAGGTAAGAGTGGTTTATTGTTAATGTTGCTCAATTTCATAAATGAATATTTTGTGGCTTAGTAAAGTGAATATTGTGTGGTTTAAGAAAAGTACAAGATCCCAAGAAGTACAACAAATCGACGAATAAGTTGCAACTGTTTCAGCATATATGTAATGGGCTGTTGTGATCCACCAGTATTTCAAAGGAGGCTAAATTATATGCAGGGGGAGGACATAAATCAGAGACATTTTGTTCCAGAAAGCCCTGTTCTGTTTCTGAAGTGAATTCTGGGACATTTCAAATGGCAAGCATAAAACATGTCTACTTTTTTAACCATATATTAACTTGAATATCTACACAGTTTTTTTTTTTTTTTTTACAGAGCAGATATATTCTTCCTTCAGGAGCTGGTTTTATTAGAGAAGTGCAATATTGACTACCACTTCAAAGAAAAGGAAGGTGACTGAAACAGGCTTCTACACAAATATAACACCAGAATATCCTGCTCTCTGCAACCCTATTTTTAAACGTGAAATACTAAGAAAGGGTTTTTATTGTTTATATTTCTCCCTTTTAAAAATAAAATAGTCTTGTAAAAGCCCAAAGATGTTTTATTTCTTATTTGAAAGTAGACCCAAATGTTTAAAAGGCATATTACCATATTGTATTTTTATTGAAGTGTGGGAAGGAAGGAAACCTTTGCTTTTCTACTTAGAACCAAGTCTGATTAAGTTCAATGTTACTCATTTTCAAGTAAACACGTTGATAAATCCGCAGCACAGTTCACAGTTCACAGTTGATTGCAACTGCGCAAATATTATTTCCTTCACCTCACAAGCCAGTTGCATGCTGTAGGGATTACCATAATTGGTTTGTCAAGTCAGCCAGAATGGATTGTTGCCATGGTTAGCTTCAGGACCCTACAGCAGCCCATGGGTTCTGCGTGGCTTGCAGACCATGGCAGGAAGTCACTCTGGCTGAGTTCACATGACACAACAATTCAGGCTGCCAAGAGTAGTTATACTAACCCCCTCCCTCTCCCCGCCGAATGTGAATGGGCCATGCAGGGGGGTTAACAACCATGCAAATCAGCCCAGTAAATCAAAGTGAGACAAAGGGTTCTTCCAGACAAGGATTTTCGTGTCCAATAATCACCCTGCCTGATTCATAAAATGTGGGGTCCAAGTATTTGCAGCCCACCCATGTTTTCCCCTTGCTTCTTCTATTGTTAAGTCTTATTAGACTCTGTCCACAATGCTTTTTGCTTGGTAACACTACCAACCCTGTACTTAGGACTCCAATATGTCACCTCTGACACCAATATGGCACCTTTCTTGGTGCCTGCCAGGCTTTCTGGCCCTTCCAATTTTTAATTTATTTCTTAAGATTTTTAAAGAAAAAAATGAGCAGGAAAGGAAAAAGGCTGCAAAGTGAAGTTCAGTGTCATCTTCATTTGGGTTCAAAAGAGTGGGTCTGTGTTTTGGAGCTCAGACTTTGGTTTAGGTTCTTGGGCAAATACTATTCTTTTACTCTTTATCAGTTTGCTTTCTTGTAATTGGCCATTCCCTCCATTGCAGTCATTTTGTGAATGAGTAGTCCCTCCCAAGGTAGCCATTTTGTGAGTGCACCTCCAATACTTACTCAAAATTCTAAATGTGTCCACTGGATGAAAAAAGTTGGGGAGCCCTGGTCTAGAAGGATCCTTGATACCATGTTTACCCTGTGATTCTGAATTTCTCTTTGGTTCTGAATCCTAGTTTTTCCATGGCTTCTGGTCCCCAGCTCCTAGCTCACCTCATTCTGTTAGCCATGATCCAGCCCTAATTTCTGGTGCAGAGGTAAGCATTTCTTAGAACTCAAGTCCAGAAGCAGTCTGAGCTTCAGTGATGAAGCATATGCTTCACAAGAAGGACCCAGGCACAATATCTGGCTTTTCCAGGTAGGGTATGCTGCCTGAAGCCCCAGAGAACTGTTGCCACTCAGTGGCAGCAATCCTGAACTAGATGCACCAGTGGTCTGACTCCATTTAATATGTCCCAAAAAATCCCATTAAAGAGGGACAGACAGACAACAACTATGATTGGGACAGCTAACAGCCTACCATCTGGAAGCACCCAAAATTTCAGGGAGGCCATCCAAGTCACAAAGCTCTCCCCTGTAACGCCTGGCTCAAAACCCCAGCTTGAGCAAATCAGGAACATGCTTTACCAATTCTTTCCCACAATAGTGCGGCACAACAGAACTATTCCTGTTGTTTGTGTTCAAGGTGTGATCACATGAGATGAAAGGAACAAGAGTTTCTTCTTTAAAAGCCCGAGGTGAACCCATACCTTTTGACCTAGAAGAGATGCTCCATAGTCTTAAAGGTGTGAAGTCAACTGAGTTTACGGGGAAATGCTTTTCATGTACACATTGTGTGGGTTGGGCCATCTAATGATAATTTCTAAAACTTAGGAAGAGGTGGCTTTCTTTAAAATTAAGCTAGTCTTTCCTATCAATTGTTGTCATTTGCCTTACTCATCACTAGATGCCACCACTGCTCCACAATTGCATTATTTGGGGTGTGGATTTTGGTACATGAATTATTGTAAGTAATAAATCCAGTCTGATGGCCCTTGTGGGTGGAAAAGCTTATAAATTTTTAATATACTCTGATATAAATCAAAAAAGAAAACAGAAATATTGTACAGGATTTGGGAATATGAAGCATTTGGAATTAATTATATTTATAATACAGTGCCATATCCCAAGTGCAAGAAAAATCAATATTTGCCTCTGAATAGAAATGGATGGATTTAAAATATATTTTTCCTCAAGAAACTAACTTCATTTTACTAATTCTTAACCTTGCATTATTACACAACCCATAACAGTGCTTCTTCAAAACTGAAAACCACATAAAATCTACATTAGCAGTTGTTCTACCCCCAACAATCAGCACAGCTAAGGTCTTTAAAAAAGATACTTAAAGAAAACAGTTAAATAACAGTTGACAGTTAATAACACTGTTTATTCTTTATATACTTCCAGAACAAGAAAATCAGTATAGGAGGCAGTTGAAATGTAAATTTGGCTGTTTAGTTAAGGTGCAGGACTTCACATATGTCTGATGTGGAGGTGCTATGTGTGGGTGGTAGGGCTTATTTATTTATGTCCTGCATCACCAACTGTATAATAGGGAAGGAGGATTCTTCTGCAGTAACATCTTCACAGGCTTTTCAATAGACACTAAACAACCCTCCCAAAAGTGGAGCTTCAATTTTGCTTAGCAGGCCTTATAATGCATGCATTCTTAACAACATGGGGTAATAACGTTTAAAATGAATGACAAAAATAGTTGGGGCTATTAATTTTCTACAGCAACTAATATACCACTTCTATGGCCAGCCTGTTATGCTGTCATAATATTCCAATATTTGGAACTTTTGAATAGACTGTTCATACGGTCAAAGTAACGATTTGTTCCCTCACAACAGTCATGGGTTGCATTTTGTTGTATGCAGGCCAGTTACCTCATACCTTGTCTGGGAGAGACCACAGTGCTTTGAAGGAAATGCCATCAGCTATCTCAGGTCCATGACAGGACATTTAAGCTAAGGTTGTTGACTAGGTATTACAGCTGATCCACGGGATCAGGTTGTATCTAATTACAACAGTTCTGGGAGAGAATATTCACATATATCTAAAGAAAGTAGATGCCCAGCTTGTTCTCCCTTGTCCTGGCACTCAGCTGAGTCTTGATAATCTCAAAGTAAAACTTTTCATTATATACAAATGAGTTGGTTGATACTTCTTGTTTTTCAGATCTCACTGTATTCTGAATATAAATACCAAGGATTTCTGAAAACTTCTTTAAAATGGGACAGGAACAATTTCCTTCTTGATACCACTTGCTTGACCTGAAGACAATTTCTCCTAGAAGATAGTTTGGGCTATCTACCTACCTATACACAAGCATTCTTTTTTATTATGATTTCACAAGACTGAGTCAGGTACTAATAGCAGAATTTCTAAAGCAACTTCCTTCAAAAATTGCAAACTAGCTGTTCTGCTTTAAAAATGCCTATATAGAAAAGAACCCACCTATTATTGTGAACAGGTAAAAACCACTTAGTACATAGTTCAATAACAAGCATTTTTAGGTAGACTAAACCATATCTCTAAAATTATTACCTTTTTCTATGCTGGTGCATGAAGGGTGCCTGGCTTTGGGGCATGTCATCATTTCCCAGGAACTTGCAAATGCCTCAGAGGTCACTTCCAGGATGTTCTGGCTGGATAGAAAATCATCCTCTGCTATGTTGTTGAATGAACCACAGAGCCCTGTAGGTTAGGTACATACAGGCATGTTTGCATAACTTCATACTTGCTATACAGAGTCATGGAGAACTGGGTCAGACTTCTATGGGGAATCAGGTACAACATCCTGTGAGTCTAAACTGTGCTTCAGTGTCTATTTCTCCTGAAAGAGATGGAGAAAGTGCTGCCCTCTGGAGGTTGCTGGCCTGCAGTCCTCTGAAGCCCTAGCCAGCACAGCCAGTGATGAAAGCTGCAATCCAACAACACTTGGAAGGCCAAACATTCCCCATTCCTCCTGTAGAGCTACAGGATACTCTGACCAAGGTGCTGACATTCTGAAATGATACAGGCCTTTCCAGGAGCTTCTCTCTCCAATTTCCTTGCCACTCTTGAACTGTGTTTATCTATATGCATCAAAAGCAGGCTGTCAGTCCATGATATTGCGAGGCATCAGCTTGTTGATTCCTCATCCCACGTAGAGCTTTGCATAGCTTGTAGCTCTGGGATACTCCTAAGCATGGTTGTAAGGGAAGGGGAATGGGGAATGGAAGCATCCCTTCAATTAGATAAAAAGCATGCACAACGGTTCTGCCTTGCTAGGTAATTGTGGCATGGTAAGTGTTGTACTCCTAGTCAAGAGACAAAATTCTGAATCCATGGAAAAATGCCATTTCCCCCAGCATTAGAAAAGCACTCATGCATGGGCAGAAAGTCTATTCCACATTTCTCCATAAGTGAGAGTGTGTGAGGGAGGGATGGGGTGAAGTGACTGAATAGGACATGCACTTTGAAATGCATATATAGTTAGTTAGTTACAGCATTTCTATAACTTTCCTTATCCAAACTGATTCCAGAGTAGTGAAGAGTATTCTAAAAACTATCTGTCAAAAAGAGAAGAGAATATAAAAACAATATGTCAAAAATTCTAAAACAAAAAAGCATTAAGACCAATGCTTAATGGTGCTCTTTCAAATTTCAGAAGCAAGGTGGAATCAACGGGTTGGCCCACTTTTTCCAAGTCTCTTAAAGCAACACAAAACAACTATCCTACAGATCTGAATGGATCTTGTTGCTATATGCCAGCAAGTCATCTCCAACCTAGATCAACTCTATGAATAAAAGCCCTCCAAAATGCCCTGTCCTTGACAGCCCTGCTTAGCTCTTCTAAATTCAAGGCCATAGCTTTCTTTACGGAGTCAATGCATCTCTTACTTGGTCTTCCTCTTTCTCATCTGCCTTCAATTATTCGTTCTCCAAAGAGCCTTGCCTTCTCATGACATGTCCTAAGTACAACAGTGTAGTTTTGTCATTTTTGCTTTGAGGGAAAGCTTTTGTACGTAGCTGTCTCTATTCACAAGTAAATTGTTGCATGAGGTACCAGTCATGGTCCTGCATCACACCAAGAGAACCTACGCGTAGCACTTTGTGTTAACTGGACTGTGGACAAGTGCAGACCAAAGCAGATAATGGCAGCTTGGAATTGATATGAACCTGCACTAATAACTAGCCCAGATTTTGCTATTAGCCTTTCCTGAGAAATATGGAAATGGAAGCCTCAGAAATACAAAGTTAGAACTTTGCTGCTGTGAGAGACAATCTAAATTCACAGAAACCTGTTCTCTTCCACTTACAACTCTACTTTGGCATTACTTATTTGAAAAATGGTATTTCCTATTGCACTTTGTGAGAGGCCAATGTTCAGCACCTGATTCCAGGTTCGCTCCTTAGCATTTCTAGGCAGAGCTGAAATCCTGTACCGCTGCTGCCAATCAGAGCTGACAATACTGGGCTATGGAGTCCCAAGGATCTGACACACTTATCTTATGATCCATACTTACAAATAACGGGACTACTCAGTTTCTTTTATGTTCAAGGACTGCTGCACTCATTATGCTATTTTAATTCAGAGCCTTCAGTCCCTGGTTATGTGTCAAACAAATTTGATCATGAGCGCTCCAGACTCTCCATCATAGCTACATCTCTGATCATGTTTAACCAGAATTAGCAGTAGTACCACAACAGCCCTATAAAGTGTGCCTTCCAAATCCTTTTTATTGTGAGGTACACATACATGCACCTCATAAGAAGAACAATGCTGTTAAGGCCTCAAGTAATTATTTCTGCCAGAATCTTACCTTGTGTATTAGTAAACTGCTTTGCCGGCAGTGAGGCATAAAACTGCATAACTGGGACATACTGGATCAGTAAATGTAGTCCATAGAATGTGCTTACTCCAATGTAGGATGAAGACTGTCTGAAGATGTTGATTGTATCTGAAGGAAGTCACATATGAGCAATATGATTAGATTTCCATTTGGATCTAAGTATCTATACTTGCTTTCTTGTGTACCACCAAAAAGTCTTATCTTACCTGAAGCATAATAATCGTTATGATGTATCTGGGCATTGAAGAAGCTGCCATTGCTATGGAATATGTATTTGTCTGCTGAAACAGGCTAATATGCACAATATTGTATTAATAAAAATCAATCCATGCAGCAATGATACATTAGCCTTGGCCAAGTAAAATGCAAAGGAAATTGCATAATTTGTAAGAAAGTCTCCTTATTAAAGCATGTTTAGGCCTTTTAAACAAGGAGTAGAGGACCCTTTATTTCTGTTGGAAGCCACATTTCCTCTGGAGTGATCTGCTAGGGGCCCTACCCAGGAGTGGGCAAAGCAAGAGGCAGAAACAGATGGCGCTATCCATTTCTGAGCACTTTCTCTTTCTACTGCCCCCCTTTCTTTCTGTTGCTGCCATCCCACTCCCCATCTCTGGGATCTTCTTTCTGTGCATTCTTTCCACCTTCCTCCCTACCCACACAGTGGACTTGTCCCTGAAGGAGAGACACAGCATTCTTTCCAGAGGTCCAAATTAATCAGCTGCTGAGGCAATTTTGGAATTAGGCTGAGGATCACCTGTGGCTCTAGTGCCACAGGTTCCCCATTCCTATTTAAAACAATTTATTGATTAAATGTATATACATCTGAATCTTACAAGACTGAGTTATGAGGGGTCTTCAAAAAGTTTCTGAACTTTTATATATTTTTTATATTTTTTGCTGATGGCATTAAAAAGTTGGTATGGCACTGGGAAAAATGCATTGCAAAGGAAGGTGACTTTGTAGAAAAGAGATGTAATTTGTTTTTGAAATTCTTAATAGAGTTTTTTAAAGTGTGGAAACTTTTTGAAGACCCCTTGTACAATTGCTTTCAAGGTATTGAAATAAGTGTAATAATAATTACAATTCAATAAACAAAAGCTTTTATACATTGTTAACAAGAAGCATGTTTTTGGTAGTTTTTTAGTTCATTCTCTAGTAGCATAAAACACTGACATCAAATATCATAAAATTTTTCTACCACCCTAGTGATTACTGTGTTGACTAATTCGGATTAGCTACAATGATCAGTCAACAAAAGCTTTAGTTGGCTGATCTATTAGAGGTACCAACACAAGAGCACTGTGATTATATTTTAGATTATCATGCATTTAAAATATTTTAATACTTACCGGCCCGAGAGACAAAGTCACACTTTTCAGACATGTTTCAGCTGGACCATTGAAACATGGACGGATTTCTACACTCAGAGACCAATCTTTGTCCTAATAAGAAAGCAAACAAGCACATTCAAGCACTTGCATCCAGTGTATACTCCAGAGCCCGATACATTCAAGGGCTTTTTATTGATCTGTATGAAGGACAACACATCCAAATATACCACTTCTCAGAATGAAACCACATGGTATAATATGGTGGTGGCTGCTTCTAGATTAGGGCAAACTCCCAAGCAGGTATCTGAACAGCTATGAAGCAAAGATGCATTACTAGGTGCATGAGTGTCAAAAGGAATAACCATCAAAAGGGTAGTATAAATGGTTTAAAGAAAGAAATGTAATTACATGTTTTAGTCAATATTACTTTGTTCAGTCATGTGGTATGGGATAATTAGACTATAATGAATTATCTGACAAATTATGACAATAAGCTTGAAAACCTATGCAAGACCAAACAGTATAACTTACAATTGAAAACTAATAGATAGCTAGTAACATATTAATGTGTACTTCTGGTAATAAAGCAAAATAAAATGCTTGAGTTGGCAGAGGAAGGGTTGACACTGCTTCAGAATAGAGTCAGAGATGCAATTCAGACTGGACAGTTCTGAATGTGAATTCCCTCAATTCAAAATGTTTCCTCCCTAATATGAGAAGCACATTAGATGAAGCTTATATGGTTTTGTACTAGGATGTGTCAGTCATTGTCACTAAGCCTAGCCAGCCAGTTCTCCCTCACTTCAAACATTTATCCACTGGCAATGAAACAGGGGACCAGCTGCAGTAGTGGGAAACTCTCTCATGCCCCTACAGGCCCAGATGCCCTGAAGAAATGTATTTCCCAAACCTCTGCCCACACGAGATGCTGCTGTTATAACTTTCTAAATGCCATTAAGAGGAGGCAGAGAGAAGGAGAGACTTGCTACATTTGCCCCCATCTGCCACCAGGTAAGTTTGGGAGAAGAGACGAAAACAGGAAGTCTAGGGGTTCATAGAGAATTATGGTGTGGCAGTGAGATCATCGAGTGCATTTTCTTCTTGTGATTTTCCTTGAGATGTTTAAAAAGTATTTTGTGATATTTTTGCACATCTAGGTCAGTCAACAGGTGTTTACCATAAATATGGTAGGAGACTCTAAAATGACAATATTCATTCACATCTGATTTGAAAAATTCTCACAAAATGGCTACAACAGTATAAGGCTCTCTAAACAAACAGGTTTAGCACCTGCTTTCTTAATGCATTCTGTCAGCAGACTGCCTGTCATTTCAGATCATGCCTTTTGCATTCGGTGTATAAAGGACCTGCAAGCTTACCATGAGTTGTGGAAGTATGTGTGACCAGCCACAACCTGTAAGGAAAAGAAAGCTCACCCACAAAAACACATTTATTGAGAGGGAAAACGTAGAGGTTGTCAGGACAGTTTTGCTGATCAAATTAATCTCAGGCAACCTGTCTCTTAAGCCCCTGAGCAAATACATGGGAGGACCCCAAATCACATTCAGTCAGTTGAATAGAAATGCTCAGGGTAGGAGCTTGCATGTGAGAGTCAGCATCAGTTTTGCACAGGAAAAGCACAGCAGATCTCTCAGGGAATTTCTACTTCAGCATAAAAAACACATCTAAGGTCAAAGAAATCACAGGAAAGGCAGAATGGCTGTATTTTGCTTCTACTCTTTCATCTTAACAATGCATTTAGCAAACAGGAGGCAGGAAAGAGGTTTGTCTGAATTTGTACAGTGTATTTAAGGAATATTACATCATATTGATCTTTTCACAAAGCAGGATATAAATGTTAAAATAACATTGATCTAACCTTTTAAATCTAATATCAAAATATTCCATTGAATGAAATAATTCACTCAGGTTTCAAATGTGTCTTAGAATGTTGCTGATTCTGAGATCTTGTGATATTTTAGTTATTTATTAAGACATTTATATGCCGCCCCATTCGGCTCACAATATGAAGAAAATTACAAAAGTGACAATATAAAAATAACAATATAAAATAAATAACAATATAAAAGAAGTTTCCCTGGCCAGATAAAATAAATACTGTTAACAATTAAAATGACGCTTAAATAAAAAGGTCTTCGCCTGGCACCAAAAAACAAATAACGACGGCGCCAGGTGGACCTCTCTGGGGACCGCATTCCATAGATTGGGCGCCACCGCAGAGAAAACCCTCCTCCGAGTACCTACCCTCCTAATTTCTTTCACGGAGGGTTCCCGGAGAAGGGCCTCTCCCGCAGATCTCAAGGGCACTGTACCCATTTTATATCTTACTTGATGTAATCTTTAAAGACTTCATAGTGGTGTTTCTTGTTTGTGCAACAGACTAGTTATGCTAAGGAACCACCTGCATGATTCAAAGCTCAGTTGTATTTCAGAATGGATATTTTAACCATTCCCACATTGGAAGCCACATTGAATACAGTAGGATTTGCTTCAGAGTAATTGGCACAGAATTGTAACATAAGGCTGTATTGCTTATCTAGGAGTAAAGTCTCTCAATCCTGATGTGGTTTATTCCAGAAAAGATATATGTGCGTATTGCATTATAAGGACATTCCCTTACATGGAAAAAAAATTTAGACCATAGTTTGGATTAATGTTGTTTTTACATGATTTTATGTCTGTAACCTGTTCAGGGAGCTATGCAACTAAATGAAGTGAGCTAAATATCGATCAGTCAAACAAACAGACAAACAAACATATAAATTAATTAAACATGGATGTGTTGGATTGTACATAATCTTAAATATCTGTGAATAATGGTGAAACCTTTAGTTGATAATTGTTCATTGACAGAATACAAAAGGGTATGCAACCATGACTTAAATATTTGGAAGGAATTCAACCAAGAAACATATATATGCAGGGATTTCTGATGGAAACTTCAAGTGGGGAGAGTTCTACACAGGCAAGCCAAGCAACCTTTATGTAAGCAAGAAGCTAATAACCTGGATAGCCATGAAGTGACAATCTCCAGCGAAGCTGTAAAAGCTGCCATCAAAAGTTGTGATGAAAGAGCCTTCCACTTCGCATCTTCCTGGACACAAAGATTCAGTGCATTCCCATCTTGCATCATGACAAGTGCTATTGAAATGAAAGTGGAAAGAATGGTGGGGTGGGAGAATAAACAGATTATAGTTATACATTGCTCCTGTGTGAGAACACTATTTCTGATTCCACCTTAAGCAAGGGAAAGAAAATATAAAGCATGGAAAAATGCATAGGCAAATTCATAGAGAAGACTATCAATATCTCCTATTCCTGAGGGTTATATGCTACCTCTAGTATTAGAGACAGTGTGTCTATGTGCAATAGCTACTGGAGAACTAGGACAGAAGCGTGCTCCTGCACTCATATCCAGTTTGTGGGTTTCTGTGGGCATCTACTTGTCCACTGTGTGACCAAAATGTTAGAGTGGATGGGCCCTTGGTCTGATCTAGCAAGGTTCTTCCTAGGTTCTTTTGCTATTCAAGGTGATGCCTTCAGAAGACTTTGTTCGGTTGTTTTACTATCCACCTCCATGAGAGTCAGGTTAGGGACAGCAGGGAACAACTAGGAGCAATGTGTTGGTATCCTTCTGTGTCATTTTCCACTACCATTTCTTTTACAGCAGCTAAAGTGGGAAAGCAACCATCTTGCAGTGCAGTGTGGCTACTTAAAAAAGGACTGGCAAAGTTGGAAACAGAGGACTGATAAGCTGATCATCTTTGTGTTTGCCTTCTAGTCAAAACCCCTCAAGTTTTATTTACCTATGAAATAAAGAGTCTGCCTACTGCAGGAAAAGGCAAGTTTTCACATATTTTTTTCAGATCAGATACAAGGAAAAATGAGAGAATAGAACTCCAGGACATACTGCAAAAAAAAAGTTAACATCAAGAAGTGGCTGTTAATGATCTGCAGCAATTTTTTCCACCATGAAACTCTGCATGTTCTTTAAGGTTGGTCTATCTTAACACTAGAATCAGCTCCCCAAATGGCAGTCTCAATATCCTCTTTCCATTGCTGGACCAAACTCAGAAGACCACAAGTCTTGAGAGAAATTGGCGTATTTTGAGCCATATGTATAAGCAAATTGTACAAGATAAATGGCCATGGCTGAAATGAATCTGATAACAGACACTCTAGGTTGAGGGATTCCAAAGAGCTTTCAAAGTACAATGGACTTTTTGGGGTGATGAATAGAAGCTGCTATGAAAACTATGGATTTTCTTGTCTGAGGAAAAAAAATTCTCATGCCCATAACATTGTCTCTTTCATAAACATTTGACTCTAGGCCTGTTGTCCCCTGCCTTGGATGGTTCAGAGAAAACAGCTTGCAAGAAAGACTTGTTTTCTGAAAGCATTCAATTTCAGGTTTACTTATATACTAGCAATTTTACCATCATCATCATTGTTATTATTTATTTACTATTGCACCTTTTTTCCTTTCAAGGAACTCAAGGCACCATACACAATTCTCTTCCTTCTCTCAATCTTATCCTTACAACAGCCTTGTGAGGTAGGATGGACTGAGAATCTGTAGCTTGCCTAAAGTAACCCAGCTGACTCCATGGCTGAGTGGGGACTAAAAATCAGATCACTTGAGCCTGAGTTCCATGCTCTTAACCACCATGCCACACTGGGACTTCTGTAGAGTCCCTCAAGGAACTGGGGCTAAGTAGCAACGTATTTCATCAGTGCCAGAGCCCAAACAGATCTTACCTTAAATCGCTAATTATGTCATTGTTTTTCTTTCTTATCTTTTACTCTAGGGTAGGTGTAGAATAGGACAAGTGTGTGAAGGTGGGGGGAAGGTGGCTTTTAAGATCTAGACAGAGCCCTTGTAGAGTAAAAATAAGGAAAACATAACTGTTTTGTCCTCAGGGAGCTGAGCATAGCGACTGCTGCTGAAACCTGGCATACTTAGGTAGAATGTTTTTGTAAAATCATCTATCCCCTGATGGCCACATTTGCAATCCAAATTCAGTGACAGCTGGGGCTGTGGACCCTGAGTAGCCAAACTGCCAAAGCAATCACTTGGCCAGAGTTGTGCTCTTGCTTCCGCTCAGGTGAATGAGTTCCTTTACATTTATTGGGTAGTGTACTGAGTACTGTGAGGTACAAAGCTTTGGGGTTCCCTCATCCCCAGTACACTACTTCATCCTGCCACACAAGCAGGCCAGGCTTGGTGACTCTCCAGTTTTTCTGCTTAGGCTATGCTAAGTATTCTCTGTGCAGCCATTACAAATTCAGAATCACATCAGTCTGAGCAAAGAAAAATGGTTCTAATTCTCAATTGAGAGGAAGAGCAGCTTGATTTCAAAAATGCCATGATGTGTTGAATTTGGTAGAATTGCATTACTTGAATAGTGTACATACCTTCTCCATCAAGGAAATGAAACTCAGTTTCACCTGCATGCCTCAAAATTTGCTTTTTTGAACACTTACCATTGTGAGTTACAAGTGCCTTTCCTCACTTCTCCAGGACTGTATACTTTTCCATTAAATTTACAGGCACAATTTCTCTTTGCAATGCATTCACCACTGCCTCCAATATCATCAAGCACATAACCTACAAAAGAAAAGAATTAAAAATGATCAAGGTGCAGCATTTAAGCAACCTTTAGCATACAATCCGGGAATGTGGGTCTTTGCAGAATGACCTACCTATATTTCTTATTCTTACCACAATGAGAATTTCCCACATAATTATATATGTCTGCAAGCTTTCCATTTAAATAGCCAATAGAAAGTTATAGAAAGGTGCAAATGGCATGTTTGGACTTCATATGTTTTCGAGAGTAGCCTGGCAGACTAAAGGATGATTCACTGTAGTAGCTTGCCACAGATGAAAAACACATCCCAAGGCAGTGGCATGAACTCTGTTGAACCAAGCCTGGCTCCAGCATCCTACATAGTTGGGCAAATTGGAAGGGCTCCCAGGCTGCAAGGGGCCCACCAGAAATCTCACATACACACACTTTTCTAATCTGATGTTTCAGCACTGGGCTGGGTAACTCCATTTATTCAAAACATTTATATCTGTTGTTCTGTCCAAAGACTCCTGGAGTGGCTGCAAGAATCAATAATCAGTTTGGCCCTGCCCTTGGACTCACACTCTAAAAAGACAAGAAACACAAGGAAATGGATTGAGGAAAGAAGCAGGATGAAGGCATTATGGTGAGGCTTAATTCAGTTGCCCTGATGGATGAGAATATATCAGTTGAACTCAGGTTTGCATTGCATGTATTATTATTATTATTATTATTATTATTATTATTATTATTATTATTATTATAACATTTCTATGCCGCCCCTTGCCGAAACCTTGGGGCGGCTTACAACACAATAAAATACATTGAAATACAATAGCACATAATAAATTACCATTAAATACAAAAATACAAAAAATACATTGATTTACAAATATAAGATTAAAATTATCAGTATAAATTAAGTAAATAAAAATATAGGAGGAGTAAGAGAAGGAAGAAGAAGTTGCCCTGGCCAGATCATATGTTTTAACAATTAAAATGATGTTTAAATAAAAAGGTCTTTACCTGGCGCCGAAAAACCAGTAACGACGGTGCCAGGCGGACCTCTTTGGGGAGTGAATTCCATAGGCTGGGTGCCACCGCAGAGAAAGCCCTCCTCCGAGTACTTACTCTCCTAATTTCTTTCGTGGAGGGTTCCCGGAAAAGGGACTCTCCCGCAGATCTCAAAGGGCGGTCGGGCATATACGGACGTAAGTGCTCATTCAGGTAGCCAGGACCCAAGCCTTTTAGGGCTTTATAGGTCATAATCAACACCTTGAATTGGGCCTGGGCTTCAATGGGAAGCCAGTGAAGCTGACGGAGGACTGGAGTCATGTGAGCATAACGCCCCGTCAGCAACCTGGCAGCTCTATTTTGCACCAATTGAAGTGTTCGGACTGTCTTCAGGGGAAGCCCCACGTAAAGCGCGTTACAGAAGTCTAGGTGGGAAGTCACCAGCGCACATCCTTCTGTCCTGACAATTTTAGCATGTGGAAGCCAACTGGGGCAAAATTTTAAAATTTTAATCTGGATAATCATGAAGATCACCGAAACCATCATCCATGTGCATATTTACATTGATATTCGAAAAGTTAAATAGAAATGTCTCACACAGCACATACAGCCCAAACCCTAGAGAGCGTTAAGGAATAGTGGGAGAAGGAAAGATGGAAAAGGTGACTGCAATAAAAATAATGAGAGTGAGCAAGTGTAATTCTATACAGACATAAATGTAGTTAATTTATATAGGTATAGGAAAATACGACACTGTACATTGTTTTAAATTAAGCATCAGATATTGCTGTAACATGTTCCTGCTGAACAGACAAAATCCCAAGTCTGCAGATGTCAATATATTAGAAAGATATATACCCTCGTATATACATGCTGAGTGAATTCCCCAAAGGATTTTTTTTTCATTAAAAGAATTGACTAAAGCTGATACCACCTGCTTGGTGAAAATAAAGTTGAGATGAATCATATTTCTGTCTTTGATCCAGTTGTATGGTGATGCTCAGTAGCAGGAAATAGCTCCTAAAGGCTCTTCCTTTTCAAAATAAAATTATCTTTGTATAGCATTGAGAAAAGCAACTTCTCTACTGAAATCCTTATGTGCTACTACTAAATGAAGCCCTGGGGAGGCTACACATTACCTTCTGGACATGCACAACCACTCACACATCCGCCATCTTGGTAAGGGGACATATAAGAACATGTCGGTTTGTTGGGAGGAAAACAGTCTTGGTAAATTTCAGATTGTGGGCATGCCGGTGTAGCTGGAATAGAAACAGGAAAGGTTTTAGGTTTGCATTCCTTGCATTCACTATCTTTACCCTAGGCATTGTTCTGTTTCATTCAATGCCAGTCTTCCTCAACCAGTTATCCTCCAGATAGGTTGGTAATGCTTGCTGGGGATGATGGGAACTGTAGTCCAACACATCTGGAGAGTGTCTGGTTGAAGAAGGTGGCTTTATGCCATCATACAGTCACTTGCCTGATTTAGGCACAATGCTAAATTATGGTTCAGTTTCATGGCTTGGGTTTGTAAGGTTCCTAGCACTGCTGTGAAGAGAAAAGTCACTTTTGCATCAGCTGTAAACTATTCAGCATTACTCATTATGTCTAGACCCAGACAAACTGTGGTATGGATTATAGAAACAACCCACCTTCAACTTGTAGCTTCTCTAATAAACCCTAATTAACACTAATCATGGTTCTTAATTCCAGGAGGTGTAGTCCAACAGACCAAGAAGAAACTAGATAAGGGAAGGCTACATTAAACTATTGCTTAGCAGTTAGCATCCAAGCCAGATCACTGTATCAAGTGTGTGTTTATCTATTTCTAATCTTTTACTTTTCATATTCAGCAACTGCCAAAAGTAGAACTGAAATTTAAAATATTTCACCTCTCAGTTGCCTTCAAATTCAATTGTTATTAACTGTTGTGAACTGCCCAACAGCTTTGGTTACTGGGTGGTATAGAAACAAACTAACTAAAACAAACACACGCACACACACACAATTGCTCAGTGCAATCCTCCACCTGCACACTCAGCTTTGACAGATTTTTTGGTTTTGGTTTTTGTAATGCATCTGAATCAGAACCAGAGGTAGGGGCAAAGCTTTAAATTCTACCTACTCTTTATACTAGCGTTCTAGTCTGGATCATGGCTTCTGAACTGTAGGAACAAAGCCATACTCACAAGAGAAAAACAAGGGTGCTGTCTTGAGAACTGAGGAGTGAGCTCCTGTTCTACTGGTGGCATTGGGAGGTAGGAGTGCTCTGAGCAAAGCTATAAGCAGCACTGCGTGGCTGACTCTAGCCACATTTTACTTTTCCTATAGTACCCAGGGGTGATACTACCACAAAGGTATCGTAGGAAATTAATATGGTTGTTAGAGCCAGCCACCCATTGCTGCTAAGAGGATCAGGCAACATTTTTTTTAAACAAGGGGCTATGGCAGGCATCAATAACGGGTCCTTCTGGGCTGCTGCAGTCCTGACAGCTGCCCAAGAATAGCAGGTAGTGATGCCAGTCCTGAGTTAAGGTTGCGTGTAGTTTGGTCCTTAGCATCACTCTTTGGTAGCTATCAGAAGGTTTAAGGGTTGGTACAACCATCTTCAAAATCAAATGTTGGAAGCAAGAGGGATGGTGGGCTTGGACAAGCATTCCAACAGGACACTAGCCATGTCACAAGTGCTGATTCAGATTTGGAGGATGAGAATGTCTCAGTGAGATTGGGGAGCATGGGTTAGCGCAAGGTACTAGGATGCAACAGAAGGAGAAGGAGGTGATTAGCTCAAGGACAGGCACCTCACTAGCCCGTCAAGAATTGTTCTGAAATGAACACATTTCACAAACATATAGCAGGCCAGCTTCCCAGTCCACTCAATTTCTGAACCTCTACTAAGCCTCTGTTTCTATTGCTATATATGCAGATTTTGTCATAGATTTAGGCCTATTGAAATCAATGGGAGCTAAACTAGTTTCAGCTAACCAAAGTCCCATTATTTTCAGTGGGTCTACTCTGATTAATTCCAACACCAAACTACTGGGTCCCATACTGGAAATGGTTTGGGAATGACTTCACAAAAGAATGAGATATCTGCTTAATCACAGGCTTATTTTATTGAACCAGCATACACAAAGTACAGCATGGTGATCAAATTTGAGGAATACGTACCACAAACTACATCTTGATCATTTCTCCAACTTTCATAAGGACCAGAACCTTCAGATGAACATTCCCTGGCTAATTCAAAAAATGTGGGGCACACGTCCCTTCTGTTCCCAGTTCTGCAGTATTCTTCAGTGCATATCCTTTCATACTCACTGTACAGGTTGCCAACAGTCTTACATGGTCTGAAGTATTTTGTAATTATATTTTGGCAATACTGAAAAATAAATATCACATGAAGTGAGAATATAAAGTCACAAACCTTTTGGACTGGATATTCAAACAAATACTTTAATCTTATGCAGTGTTTTTTTTGTAAGAAAAAAGGTTCCGGAACTCATGAAATTATTTACCTTTCACACATAATCAGTCACTATACACACACCCACACACGTCAGTTGTGTAACGAAACATAACGGTCGCCGCCCGCAGTAAACACTCAGCACGCGACCACACGACCCATCACAAGTCGAGCAGCGCCACAAGCCGAGCAGCGCCATCACAGCCAGCGCGGACAAAGCACACGTGCATCAGATTCGACACACAAGCAGCCCACATGCACCGTTTTAATGATTTTGCCGCCGACCTGCTACGCTCGACAGGGCAATTCAAATCCACGTGGACCAAACATCAAATTTTCAAAAGTTACTTTTTAAACTTGGAAAATCTGTCGAAAAAAGGTGCCGGAACTCTGTTCCAGTGCGTTCTATGACAAAAAAAGCACTGATCTTATGTAACTGAATGCAATCATACATCTTTAAATTAGATAGAAGGTCCACCTGGCACTGACGTTATATGTTTTTCGGTGCCAGGCCAAGACCTTTTTATTTAAACAGCATTTTAATTGTTAGCTTATTTATTGATTTTATATCTTTGGCCAGGGCGTTTCCAATTATATTGTTTTTATATGATTATATGTATGTATTTATTGTTGTAAGCCGCCCCGAGGCTTCGGCGAATGGTGCGGCATAGAAGTTTACTAAATAAATAAATAAATATAGAATACTTTCTGCCTGATCACGGGATTAGAATGGAACAAACGTGTAGCTGGTCCTATATCATCTACACTGGCTGCCAATTGAAGTCCAGGCCCAATTTAAGGTGCTAGTAATGACCAATAAGGCCCTAAACAGCTTGGGTCCTGGATACCTGAAGGAGAACCTCCTTCCCCATGTGCCGGCCTGCCCCTTGAGATCTGAGGTAGAGGTCCTTCTCCTGGAGTCCTCTTTGAAGGAAATTAGAAGGGTAGCTACTCAGAGAAGGGCCTGCTCCCCAGGGAGGTTTGCCTGGCTCCGTCACTTTATTCTTTTTGGCATCAGGCGAAGACCCCTTTATTATCCCAATATTTTAACAGTTAATTAGTTTGATCCTTGTTTTTATCATCATTTATCGGATCCAGCATGTGTTGCTGTTGTTATGGTTGTTTTTTGGATTTTTGGTTTTTGTAAGCTGTCCAGAGACTTTTAGTATTGGGACGGCATATAAAAACTTTAAACAACCAAACAGCATCCAATGTACATGCTTTGGATGTACATTTTTTGCCTTTGCTTTAAACTGGTTTTATCATGATGCTTTTAAATTGCATTGCATTATATTTGCATTTTGTATTCATATTATGTTTAACTCTGCTGTCCTTTTATGTTGTAAAACTTTTTATTGCTTTTATTATATAATATTTTTTGCCCTGGACATCTGTTGCACAGATTGTGCCTTTCTGAACTTTGCCAAACTTTTGCAAAACCCTGTATAACAACCTCCCAAAATGTCATGACTAAATATCATGATGCTTATATTTTTCAAATGTTTTCAAATGAGAGGGGCCTAAGTAGTAATAAATACATGCACTGCTCACATATAAATAGGTAATAATGTATTTGTTCCAAGTATCCTCTCGCTATATAAAAAAATCCTCTATCCTTTTTCTATCCCTGTGAATTAAAAAAAAAATCTTGAAAAAATGAAGTTAATGAGTAAGCCAAAAAACATAAGTAAAACAACTCTTGGTGTATATAGAAATTGAATCTGTGACCTCAGCATTATTAAGACTATACTCTCAAACTTAATATCATGTTGCTTTCTTCCTTTATCCACATACCACTTGAAGAATTCTTAGTCACCTCTTATTGCTTTCCACCCCTTCTTTCATAGGGGAGGTGTTGAGTGAACGCTAGCGCTGGCTGAAAACCAGCTTAAAGTTGGTGGTCCCTGGCCTACAGTTTGAGAAATACTGCTGTGCACCAACAGCATAAATAAATAAAACAATATTTTGCTTACCTAGTGGTTTTCTTTCCAAAGGTGTTGCTGGGCAATGCAAGCTACCAACATCCACGCAAAAGTTACCTCATTGCCACTTTTGGATAAAGTGGGTGGAAAACTTGCATTTTTATAAAATGGGCAGAAGGTTTGTCTTTTTCATAAAAGATAAAAACTCTAGGGCTATGGAAAACATGCATTAAGCATTGTCCTTCAGCTAGTGCAAAAATATTTCCCAAAAGGTAAAGTAGAAATAGAAAAATAGCCTGACAAAGGCCAATTTTTATGAAATCAATGAAAGAAAGAAAAACAAGTTGCTGGAAGTCATTTATCAAACGTTGAACTCCTATAAATAAGCTGCTTTTTTGTGCTTTCCATCATAATATCAGTGTGAATCATTGTCAAAATGACCTTTCCTACATTGCTAAGTTTCAGATCAAACCTCTGAGCTATTTTTGGAATATAAGCCGGTAGTACCTATTCCCCATCCCACCTATATGTCTACATAAAATGGTAAGATGAAGTTCATTTGATTCACCCTTAATACAGGGCCATAATGGCAGACCTAGAATAAAATAGGAGTTAAATAAACTCTCATTTTAAACTGCATGTACAGAGGAAATGTATACTTCCAAGGTGCCCCCTGAGATCAGTTAGAATTGATGATGAAGAGGAAGCTATTTTGATGTATACTACAAAAAAGATACAGTTCATTCTTACCATTTGTCCTTCAGCACAGTGCAGAAGCTGTTCAACAGAAGGTTCTGGACAAGTGTTGTCTAGGACTTTGCTGTCTGCAATAAGGTTTGTTATATTTGTGCCTTTAAAAGAAACAGAAAGAAATACACAGTGCTTTTTTTGTAAGAAAAAATGTGCTGGAACTCATGAAATTATTTACCTTTTGCACGTAGTCAATCACTGTACACACGCACATAGGTTAGTTCTGTAACGAAACATAACGGTTGCCACCCGCAGTAAGCACGCAGCACGTGACCACACGACCTATCACAAGCCGAGCAATGCCACAAGCCGAGCAACGCCATCACAACCAGTGTGGACGAAGTACACATGCATCGGACTCGACACACAAGCAGCCCACATGCACCATTTTAATTATTTTGCCGCTGACCTGCTACACTCGACAGGGCGATTCAAATCCACATGGACCAAACATCACATTTTCAAAGGTTACTTTTAAAACTTGGAAAATCTGTCGAAAAAAGGTGCCAGAACTCTGTTCCAATGCATTCTATGACAAAAAAGCACTGGAAATACATAGCTTAGGGCTCAGTCCTATACATTCTGAAACAGAAAGTAGTCCTACAACTTCCAGCCTTCTCCATCTAGTAGGACTATTTTTCTGTCTAAACATACATGGGATGTTATCCTTACATTATCAGCATCTACAAAACTTTGCCTAGTTCAGAATGTCATTTTGTTTTGAGGAATCTGTTCCATATATAACATACTTTCTTAGCAGAATACTCAATAGTGTCTGAAAAATGCTTGAAGGCTCACAGGATTAGTAAAAAGACATTTTAAGTGGGGTGAAAGTAGTCTGAACAATCATCTTCTAATCTTATTTTAAAGCAACCCTGACTGCTCTTTAGAAGGCCAGATACTGAAGATAAAACTCAAATACTTTGGCCACATAATGAGAAGGAAGGACTCAATGGAGAAGATCCTACTGCTGGGAACAATAGATGGCAAAAGAATGAGGTGCCTCGATGGTCACTGAAGCAGTCAGTGTGAGCTTAGGTGGACTCTGGGAGATGATGGAAGATATGAGAGCCTGGAGAATGTTGTCCATGGGGTTGCAATGGGTCAGACATGACTTCGTGACTAGACTAGCACAGCATAACTGCAAATAAGACAACATCTAGATCCAACTCAATATTTATTATTTTGTGACTCATACCATGGGAAGCAAGACTGAAGAAATGATGATGTGTATATTTTAGCCCATGATACTTTCTATTGTTTAAATGTGGTTATCACAAAACTGTTGAAACATCAGATGCACATATATGAGAAAGAAAAAATCAATCCTGTGGGTTCATCTTAAGTACGGGTAGGCAACCCAATGCCTTCCAGATGTTTTGTATGAGGACTCTCATAATCCATGGCCAGGATTAAGAGGAGATGCAATTCAAACTTTTGGAAGACTCCAGGTTGCCTACTCTTGATCTAGTTTTGCATTCAGAACGTATAGACAAGAAGCAGCTCAATATGACATTTCATGTTATCCATGGGGCATAGCATCATGTCTAAAAGGGAGCCAATGCTATTTTACCATCCATATATGTATGGAATACAGGTTTGTTTGCATGTTTGTTTTCTACTTTACTGTATGTTAAACTTTTATCTATAGATTAGTATATTATGAAAACAAAGCATTTGTTCTGTGAATCAATAACATTTCTTATAGTTTACTGATATAGCTCTGACTTAGTACAAATGTTTTTAAATGGACTTTGAACACAGGTAGACTGTGAGAATAATTAGCACATTTTGGTAAAATTCAATTACTATTTTTAATATTACTTACTAATTCTTCTTAGCTGCATATTGTAAGATGGCAAACAAGATGATAAATATATTTTATAGGATGCTCTTACCTATGATTGTGTGGCTGTCTCCACAAAGACCACAGGTATCATACTTTTTATGGAGAATGAGCTTTAAAAACACAGAGGGAATAATAGAACATTAACTTTAAATTTAAGCTTTAAATCATTTGAGGTTTATGAATGCGAGTAGATAAATAGGTACCAGTTTGGTGAGGAGGAAACAGTGCCCCATGATGTCATGCTGGCCACATGACCACGGGAATGTCTTTGGGCAGTGCTGGCTCATGGCAATTGAAATGGAGACGAGCGCCACCCCCTATACCAGTTTCTGCTAGCAGAGTAAAATCCACAGGGACTCCTTTCCTTTCAAAGTCAAAGCTTTCTGGGTGTTTCACAACATTTTAAGTCACCCATCCAGATTTCACCCAAGCCTGACCCTGCTTAACTTCCAAGATTAGATAGGATGAAGCTCTTCAAGCTGTATGGAAGCTCTGCTCAGTTGACCTGGGATCCAAAGGCAATAAAGAGAGGGAAGATAGTTGCCACAAGAGTGCCAGGCTGTTATTGCTTACCCATTACTTGCAGTAAAGGTTGCATGCTTTTTAAAAGGGGGCTAGCATCCACTGGGATGATCTATGGGCCGTGTTATTTGCCCAACCATTCTGAGTGTGTATACCAAGCCTGCAGATACTATGCCTTCGACATTATGGTGATTACAGGGAATGTGATTGAGTCTTTTTTTGTATCTCACATTTCAGGCTGCAGGAGGCCCACAAGATAGCACACAAAACAGAAAAACTAACCAATATATTTTAGAAATTGAGAATGCATTAAAAACATTTAGGCTGCAGTCATATGGTTCCTGGGATGATGTTCCAGGGTTCATAGGAAAGTTTGACCTTACTGTTCCAAGACTGGAACTCAGATCTCAGAGAAGGGGGTTTGATCTCATGTTCTAACTCCTTGCTTCCATAGATCTTTCCATGGTCCTTCCCTTTGACATTGGAGAGGCAGGAAATGGGCAAGTATGCTGCATCTGTGCTCTGGGAGAGATCTCTCAATACATCCCAGGCCCTGGGATTTACGCCAACAAGGAGGGGATGTTTATGCATGTGCGGTGAGGAGAGGAATCTTTTGGCAGTCTTTTCAACCAGTGCATTTTTGAATTTTACATTTTCTCACTTCCCCACAGAAAGCAAGTGGGGATGCAATTAGCATATCAGCTGAGGCTGCTGGGGTAGCTGACAAGCCCAGAAGGGCTCATTTCAGGCAAAGAGGCTGGGTTTGGGTCCAATTCTTCTTGTTCCCAAAATGTCCGGTTTGGGTCCTTACACTAGCACACTAAAGGTGACTCTGCTGGAAGGAGCATTCCGGTTGCTGATCTCTTGGCTGGTATAATGGAGTCTTCCATGGAAGAGTCTCCATGCCAGTGGAGCACCTTTCTGTTGGAGGAGCATCCTCACCCACTCCAGCTGGCAACTCAGGGTTACACTCTGACATGACACCTTCAAACCAAGAATGGTTCTGATCTCAAGCACAGCTTCTTTTGTAAACTGGTACATTGTATGGGGCTATTTACCTAGAGAGCTATTGAGTAGCATTTGCAAACACAATTTCACAAAATGAATCTCTTCTTATTCACAATTAAATAACAGACAACATTAACAATTCGTGAGCTTAAGTGGACTCCGGGGGATGATGGAAGACAGGAAAGCCTGGAGGAATGTTGTCCATGGGGTCGTGATGGGTCAGACACAACTCCGTGACTAACAACAACAGCAAACATGAACAATTATAGCAACAATACTACAACTTGTGCACCCAAGCCCTTCACAAAAACACTAATTCAGAAGTTGCTTGTAGAATTGGACAGTTCAAGTGCCCTTTTTAAATACAAAATTCAAACAAAAATCCAAGATCACTTCAACTTGGTTGAGTGTCCATAACATGGAAGAATCATTTCCATATGCAAAATCTTCAAAATCCCAGACCAAGGTGGCAAGGGACTTAGCTGTCTAAGTGGCAACAACAGCTCCTGCTTCTTCAGCTTTCTTGCTCTTTCTGATTCAAATCTTACTCACAGCCCTGCTCTTTCTTAGTCCCCTTTGGGCTGAACCAGTATTTCATTGGGGTTACACTTGCACTCTTCCAGATGAGTTGACGATCTCCTTATGGCCCTGCAACTGATGATTCAGGGATAATGGCAATAGCTGCATGGCATGAAATCATTGTTCCACTCCATTTAAAAGCAATATATCCATATCACCTCTAATGGTTCAGGTTACAGTTTTGTTCCTGAAAAGAGGTAACACCAGTTTCTAAATATTCTGCAGCAATATTAATTGTAGTCAAAGACATGATGGTTCTTTTTGATTTAGATGTAGTTTCACTGTGCCACTGAACATCTCGCATAGGGCAAGTGTAAAACACAAGGTAGGCTTACCGATAATTTATCTTCATTGTTCCATAGCAATGTTAGAATACCTCTGCGGCTTACCAGCTTGAAGGAGAGCCCATATCTCTTAATACGGAGCATTTTATTGTCATATGGCACTTGTACTCTGTAAATTCAGTGTGGGAGAGGAAGGCAGTTGTTTCAATTTAGAAAATATTGTAAAGTGCATCTTTCACATTAATACCCAGTTTTAAGCATATTGTCTCAACTTATCCACAGAAATCAAGTTTCAGTTCACATAACCACATGCCTTTACCACATCTTGTATACAGCTCAGTACAATGAAACCCTAAGCCTTATCATATCTTGTATACAACTCAGTACAATTAAAGCAAAAAATAACTGTGCAGTATTAAAACAGAATTTGTGGCAGCATAACAAGCAGCATCAATAATCTCGTTTGCTTAAAGGTTCACTTACTTTATTGCATTGACAAAAATCTTGCCATCTTTCACTGTGATGTCATTGCCATCTAGCAGGACTGAAAGTCGATCAATCTTTCCTTCTGCATCCCGACTCATTTCAATATTGAACTCTCTTCCCGACTCAATACAATGACGACAGAAAGTGTAGTTGCACAAGGACTCGAAAGTGAACATACGATTGTCAAAGGTTTTGTACAACCCTCTGCCCCATGTGGAAGCCTCAGCTATTGAATGGAACAGAAGAAAATAAGCAGAACCCTCTGTGAATCATGTGAGTTTATTTCCTAGAGGCCCACAGAATCTAATTGCTTTGCGGGTTCAGTGAAGAGTTTACGTAGGATGTAGAATTGGGCAGACCTGGTTCTGAACCCTACTGAGCCAAGAAATGGACTAACTCTGGGCCCTCACAATCTCTGAGCCTAACCTGTGTCACACAGTTGTTGTGTGGGTAAAGCCTGTAGGGCCAGAGCCATAAATGTGGTCTACAGGGGAGTGTGAGATATAAAGAGTATGAACAGATCTGAGAAGGAAAACACATGTCATTTACAGCACAGATGGTAAAAACATACCTTCTGTGCAAACTCTTTCATGTCAGACTCAAAACCCTGCTCTTGAATCTTCCTTGAAAAGAAAGTTAATAGCAATCAGATTGAGACTTCAGCACTTGGGAAAGTGAAATGTAACCTTTTCCTCCCACACTCTTTTCCCATTCAAAATGAGGCTATTGTGTGGTATATCTCTATAGGCAAAAAGCTCTGTATGAGTAGTTTAATCAGAAGCATCATCATATAGGTGATGATGTACGAAGAGTTATTGTGGTTATTGTTAATTTCCTTTCTATATCACTCAACCTTGCTGAGTAGTTAACAATTTATGCAATATAATTATACAATGAAAAATACACATACAATAAAAACCCCATAACATTTCAGAGAGAATTTAACACAATATGAGCAATAAAGGCAATTTCAATACAGCTGTTGCTAGACTACCATCACCAAACCCCAAAACCAGCAGACATGAGCTGCACTCATGTGTTATTTAAAGCCATTTAATGCCCTGGCATAGAAGGCAGTCTTAACTTGGTGCCAGAACAATAGCAGAGTTTGTGCCAGGTGGGCCTCTATGGAAAAATCATTTCATAACTCTTAAGCTACTACTGAGAAGGATTTCATTTTTGCTGTCACCATCCAACCCTCCCTCAGATGTGACACTCAGAGGAAGGCCTCAGGTGGAGCAAGGTCAGGAGAGGCACTCCAACAGGCACCATGGTTTTACAAGTTAAAATCTGCACCTTGAATCAGGCTTGGAAGTGCGCCAGCAGGCAATGCAGATGAGTCCAAATGAATATTAAATGCTCAGATCTTGGGCCCTAGTTATTCATCTTGCTGCTGCATTTTGCACAAGCTGCAGGTTCTGAGTGGTCTTCAAAGGCAGCCACATATGGACTGCATCAAAGAAATCTAACTTGGAGATCACTAGGGCATTGATTAGTGGAGCCAGGCTATTCCTGCCCAGATGGGGCATAGCTTGGCCACCAGCCTAAAGTTTTTAGGATCTTCTGGGCTTCTTTAGGAGTGGTCTCACTACCATCTCTTTCAGATAGCATGGAAACATAAGGAGGCATTAATCACATCCCTGGTCCAGCTGTCTGCTCTCTCCTGGCTAGCTTATATACTCTAGGAGGGGCAAAGATCCAGTATATAGTCACAAATAGATCTCAGCTTAAGTATGAGTAATATGTCTGCTCTTAAGCACATACATCACCCACAGTAAAATGCTTATGTAGAGATAGAATCCAAACTTGCTCACAAAGCAAGAGCAAGAAAATTGTTGAAAGCAGAGCAATTTTTTATGCTGTCAACCTCCCACAGACTCCATCAGCCTTCTGCAGGATGCATTGCAGGCTGTCTTACAGAGGCTGTTCATTCTGGAAGGCTCCACCTCTTCAAAGAATAACAAATCACACCTGAAACCAGGTAAATCTGCTAACAGTGATGGTTTTACAAGGAAATGTTATAAAGCTGTTGTCACTTCAGTGTCACATCTCATAACCCTCATCCCTAAAATCCTAGATGATCCCAAGATTCCAGAATTTTGGAAGAGAATAAGACTCATGGTCATCCCTATGGAAGGTGAAGACATGGAACAGTGAGGTCATAGCACCCAACCACAAGGCTTACCCAAGATCTCAAACTGTTTACATCACCCTGTCCTGATGGAAACAGAAACATTTCATCACACAGTACATCCATAAGTAATAAACAGTCTTCATGCAAGCTGTCAGATGCTATCTGACAGGTCTTAAACATTGTATATTAACAGAATTGCTTTAAGTCCCTGGACTCTATTGCAATTTAGATGGTTTAACTCCTTGATCAGGTGGAATGGCCCTAGTTTTATAAAAATGGGAATGGGTCAGCATTTCCAGACAGCAATGGCCCAGCTCTATACTGCCTCAGAGGCACTTATGCATGGTAAAATGGACTCTTAACCTATAAAACTGCTTTGAGGGAATAGAACAAGAGTGTTTGCTTTTCACTCCTTTCTTTTTGCCATTACTATTGAAGCATTGGTACTAATAATTTCTCATCATCCTAAAATTCAGGAATCGCAATACAGTCAGCAATCCACTGGATTAATCTTTTTGTAGATAATTTCTTCAATCTCTTTCCAATTCTGAATCAGCTACAAGGAATGTTGGTCCCTTTCCAGCACCATGCTGGTTTTAAAATAAATTACAAATCTGACTCATTTTGTCAAAGGAAAACCCCAAACCCCATAGAAACTTCACAATAGATAGCAAATAATTTTTATAAACTTCTGCCTAAAGTACCTGGGCATTCAAATTCTAAAGGATTTATAACAGCTAATTGTACAAAACTGTACACCTGTTATAAAATGGGTAAAAAATAAATTAAAAGCATAGCCTAATAAGAATCTATTATGAGCAGCACTGCCACTTTAAAAATGATCATTCTGCCAAAGCTTCTTTTCCTTTTTCACATGATCTCCATTCCCTCAACAGATAACCTACAAAAAAAACAACAACTGTCTAGATTAACTAAGACTGCACAGTCCTGCAGCTAAATGAGAAGAGGATTTGTTATGTTCAGTTTATGACTGTAGTTTGCCTTTTTCCTCCTCAAGCCATAACAAGCATCATAAGAAATGACATGTCATATCCTGGGTTTCTATGGAGACATTTATCTAGTGTTCTCCTGCTACAAAAGAACTTTGGCTTTTTCAGGCAGTATAACAATGTAAAAAACAAATTCATAGCACTTCACTTTAAGATATTTACCAAAGCTAAAACATTCTCTAAAGTAACACTCAGCACTTGGAAAACTTGGGCACAACTTCCTGCTCCTTCCCTTTGGGTCCAAGATTAAACCATCTTAAATTTATAGGACCATGCAATCCAGCACAATACCTGGGGTAAAGGGAGAGGAGAGTTTTCCATGTTAGAGACTTTTTAAAAAAATAAGGGGACAGTTCCTTTTCCTATCTCCACTGTAGGTACAGTACAAGGGGTGAAAGTTTTCTGGCTTTCAAATATACCAAATAAGCAGTTTTGCCACATGGATGAGAACCTGATTTGCTTGAAAACAAGGTACTCCTTGAGCTCAAATGGTCTTTGAGAAACTGTGCTTACATCAGGGCAATTCTATATATTCTAGACCAGATCTGAACTCATCTGTAATGGACCACAATAGTCCTGACTCTGGATTCCCTACCACCAACTTTGTACAATGTTGGTCAAATTCTTTCTCCAGTGTGTGAAATTACTAACAGTGATTTTGAACCCTACTCCAACTTTCAATTTTCAAACACAAGAATAAACACCTTTTACATGCACTCTTGCTGTTGTGTTTGTAGTTGCTCAGCTTGAATGACCATTAAATAGGAGAACTTCTCCTGGACCATCAGTACAAAAATGGATGAAAGGCTTATAAAGGACTGGAAAACTGAGAGTTCTTCACAGAAATGTTGACTATGTTAAGGCACATCCAGCAATCCCTGCTCATTCACCTGCACAATTCAGATTCTGGAGTGATGCGCTGCAACACTGCTATCATAATTTTTACCTGTTTTTTCTGCTGTAATGGTTAGAGAGTTGGACTTGGGACTCAGGAGCTCCCAATTTTAGCCACATTGGACCAGGAAGTTCATTGGGTAACTTTCCACCTAACCTGCATCACATGGTTATGAGGCTAAAATAGATTGCAGGGCAGGGCTTATGTGAGCTGTCTTGGATTATTTGCAGGAAAAAGACAGCATATAAATACATTAGAGCAGGGGTCTCAAACTCGCGGCCCGCACGCCAATTGCCGGGATGGGCAGGGCATGGGGGAGGGGCATTAGAGAGAAAGAGAGAGAGATGTTCCCAAGGACTATTCATAGATAACAAGGAGCTAAATGGCACCCAAGAGTTATTTTCTTAGCTAGGAAAATGCAAGTACAATTCTACATTTACAATGCACTATTTTTCTGGCAGCTGAAAAGGGTATTCCACTAGTTACAAAAGAGAGATAGAATGCACATAGCTACCATAGTATATATGGGGTTGAGGATGGGAGAACTGGCTGGTAAGGCAAGGGGAGGAAAGGAAGGTGGGGGTGAGTTGTGGAGTCATTCTGAAGCCCTTTTCAAGGAAGTACAAAACATTTTGGTTTTACCTCTATGCACATCAGCATCTTTTTTTGAGTAGAGTGGTGTGCTATCTGGAACATGCTGTGGTTTATCTGCAGAATGAAACATCAATGAACTGTAAATATGATGCAGAAGGCCAAGTTATTTCCAAAGAGTGGGTGGGCCTCTTGCTGACTGTTAGAAATAACAAAGCAGCATAAGAGAATAAGGGCACAGCTTATTTTAGATTTTCAGTGAATAGTCACCTGCAAGTCATCCAAACTTCAACCAAGAATGCAGCATGACGCCATCAGGATGTGAATTCATGTATGCCAAAGTGGATTAGTCATCATCCAGCAGATTGGCCTTTACTACAATGCCATAGCTAATTATGGCCGATTGCAAAGGGAGACATAGCTCTGTCACACAGACGTACTATTTTGAATTCCCAACTTTGGTATTTTTGTACCATCTGCTCATCATAATACGCACAGGACTGTATCTAATGGATAACTATATAACTACCTCATCAAATGCAGGCCTTTTCCTCACCTCACCCCAACCTGTCTTGTCCCATCCTACATCTTGCATAACTACCTTTGCAAAACGTTGTGCTTTGGGTTTTAACATTAATCACCAGCTGTGTAAATCTTTGTATAGGCCCTTCTTGATCATTCGGAATTGCTAAAAGATAAGACAAGAAGAGGCCCTCTGGATCAAAACGAGGGCCTAGCCTGCTGTTCGCACAGTGACCAACCAGATGCCTCTTGAAAGCTCACAAGCTGAGACCGCCCTATGTCCCCCAGCAACTAGAACCTAGAAGAAAACTGACAGTGGAGGTAATATCTTACAGCATTATGATAAGTGTGTGTGTGTGTGGGGGGGGGTTGCATTAAAGTGTACAGACATAGTAGAACAGGATGCCCACCCCTATTCTTTCTTCAGTGTGGGAGGCCAG